CGGAGGCAGCGGCAGGCGACAGGCGACGGGCGGGGGTGGAGGCGGTTGCTGGCGGTGGGCTGAGAAGGCTATGCCGATCTCCGTCCCACCGAGCTGAGTAGGGGGGCATCGATGTCTCCTCATCTCGCGCCGCCGCTGCCTCCGTCTCGGTCCTCCACGTCGTCGCGCCGCTGGCGCGTCTGTCGTCCTCCGGCCGCCTAGGTCCCCCCGAATCCCATTTTCGGCTGCCCTCTCCGTCTCGGCTCATCTCCACCGTCGCTGGGATCCGGAGGTCACCGGCTCACCCAACCTCTTCCGTGCGCAGTGCTCACCGGTCGCCGGCCAAGCACGCCGCACAGGGGACACGTCCCTCGACGCCGCTATCGCTAGGAACAAGCCATCTTCATTGACGACCCTGCATTGCTCCGTCTGCCTCATCGCCATCGGTCCCATTGCCATCGTCGGCCGAGGACGCACGTCGGGCAGCCGCCGCAAGCCTCTGCTCTTGTCTCCGTCTGCGGAGCCACCTGCCCAAGCGCATACGCGGGAGAGAGAGTGCGACTGGGGAGAAAGAGAGAGGGGTATGACAGTTGGGCCCAGGGGAGGTATTTTTATTTTTATTAGCTGACTGGATTGCCACATTGGCGTCACGTATGCAAACTTAAGTCAAAACCACTCAAAACAGTGTTGAGGGGGGGTAATTTATCCGCTATTAAAAGTTTAAGGTGAGTAATGTCTGGTTTTCAGGTTCAGGGGGGTAATTCGGTCGACCGCGATAGTTTATGGGGGTAACTCGTACTTTTTCCCACACAAAAATACCCTGCCTCCTTTTTCCCTCCCAACACTTCAAAAATTCCATCCTTATATCCTCCCTCCAACTCTCTCACCTCCTTATCCTTATCCTCACCTCCAACTTTCTCTCCTCTCCTCTCACGCACTCACGCGGCGGCAGGCGGGCGGCTTGGCAGCAGGCGACGGCGGGAGGAGTGAGGCCTCGACCGCCCCCGCCGCCGCCGACGATGACGACGAGGTGGCCGGAGTGGAGGCGGACGCCGGCCGTCCCAGTGGAGGCGGACGCTGGCCATCCCAGCGGCGGCGCCTCTCCACCGACAAGGAGGAGGAGGTGGCCGGAGCGGAGGCGGACGACGGCCGTCCCTGCGCTCTCCCCGTGACGGCGTCTTTCCACCGACGAGGAGAAGGTGGCCGGAGCGGAGGAGGATGGTGGCCGTCCCCACGTTCTCCCCGTGGTGGCACCTCTCTCCCACCCTCCCCCGCACAACAGCGACAATGACGACGAGCGACGGCGACGGCGAGACGAGTTGCGGCGGCAACTAGGGTTTCGATTTTTTTCGCTATTTTTATTTTGTTTTTTGGATTTTTTTTTCACGTGTGGGCGACAGAAGCACCCGCACGCGAAAATCTGATTTTTTGCGATCGGGTGCGCCACCCGCACAGAGAAACCAGATTTTTGCAAACACTTTCAGGCAAACGGGCGCCACCTCCACACGTAAAAACAGTTTTTACCCGCACAGAAAAATTGTTTTCGTAGGAGTGCGTTACTTGATGAAAAATCGCAGACATCGTACAATCTTTTGTAGCTTACAACTGATTCTTGAGTGCCGATCGATATTCCAATTGCATTTTACACTGTGGTCTGTGGGCACAAGTTTAAGAAAAAAAATTCTTTTCACACGAGAGAAAGCGGTAACTCTTTTGATCTGAAAGGATTTTCATCAAACAGAAAGTTTTCTTTTTCAAAACCAGCTTGGTCTTCTTCTTGTAGATCGTAGACCTGTACTCTATCCGTCCTATAAAAAACCAATCTAGAATTGAATTTCCTCTAACTGTAGATTTAAATTTGCAGTCATCATGTTACCATGTATGTCTTCCATTCCCACTACAATGTTCAGGCAACAATTAATTCCCTTGAACAAATATGATGCATGTTACCCTGAGTACTGTCCTTATATGACAGCCTCGATCTAAAATCCAAAAATCTTCCATGCTAATTAACAGTGTCGTCGTTCTTCATTTTAAGTGATTAAAGTGCCGCACTTGCGAAAATTAATCCGTCACCATCCATACGTTGTCGTTCTCGAAGGGAGTTTGCTCAGCATGTGGCGTCACTGCTTAGCCGTGATGAACATCAAGTGCATTCCGGACCAGGCTTCGGCCGGCTATGTGTTATTAGTAGATGCTGTCACGGGAACAACAAACCAGTTTAAGCTGGTACAAAAGCCACCTACTTTTCTCTAACTTTCCTTAATTATTTCAAACTAAATGGGCTTGAAGAAAACGATGATGTGGTAGCTTTGTCTCTCAAATTTTTCAGCGCTCATCCAATTGAAGCGGTAGTTAAATTAATATCGTAATTTCCGATTACATTCTTTCTAACTTGGCTAGCTTTATGTAATTAATTTTCATAGTGGTGGTTGAACACACGTTATTGCAAACTGATTTAGATTCGTTAGTACATCTTTTCCAACGAATTGACTTCAAAGTCTGCACATATGCATGCATCCTGATCTTTACATATACATGTGTTATATAGACTTGTTTAGTCCAAAAGTGTAGTCCATGCTAACGTTACATTGGGTCCAAGATTCTATGTCAAGTCCAAGCTAAGATCGAGGACACATACATTCAATAAAGATGTATAATGGTCATCAATAGTGCTCCTTTAGTGTTGCTAATTAGAAATAACTAGTTGATACTTCGCGCATTGTTGCGGGATACATGGATGGCTACATATTATACGTTATAGAAATGATAGATATATATGTTTAAATAATGTAAAAATGATGTGGAGATAATGGTTACATTGCTTGCATATTGACAATACTAGAGAACTCATCTTTTATCTAATGTCCCAAACACACAAACTCATCTTTCAACCGGTATTAAAAATGTATTTTTAGTACCGATTGGTACCACCAACCGAGACTAATGTTGGTGGATCTTTAGTCCCGGTTGATGTTATCAACCAGTACTAAAGATGTATTTTTTCGATAACACCAACCCATACTAAAGATATTTTTAAGTACCGGTTGGTATTACTTAAGATGCCACCAGAGTTAGTTCAAAAGAAAAACATCTCTATTTAAGTTAGATGTGTAGAGTATGTGGGATGCTAATGCGCGTAAGGGCTGAGATGAGAGATCTTGAATTCGAATCCCACATCCCACATATTTTTTTTGACTCGGTAATAAAGGTCGAGATCTTTAGTCTTGATTTATTGATCACGATTGCTATAATCGGGATTAATGGAGATTTTCAATCGGTATTAAATATGATTTCTCTACTAGTGTGTGTTCTAAAAATACAACAAAATTGTAAATGATATGTCATGTTTGCATGATATTTAAAATGCTATAGATAATAATTGCTAGTGGATGATGATATTGCACACTTACATGTGATATACAATACTCTAGATAAAAATTGCTAGTGGGTGATGATATAGAATACTTGCATGTTAAGCTTTTAAAAATTAGTGGGCATCAACTATATAGATAGTATAAATTGTTAACATAGAAGAGAGAGAAAAAGGAAAGACAAAACATCATTGTTATAGATAATAACGGCTCAACAACGACTCTTAACCCCTATAAAATAGAAACATGGTTGCATGCGGGTGAAAAAAATAGAAATTAAGAATAATAATAAAAGAATATCTTTGGATTGAGTTAATGGTTAGAGCCTCTATGATCTCAACTGTTGTAACAATGCGGTCTGTAAATAATACTGTACTACCTATGTCCCATAATAATTGTATATCTAGAATTTAAATTTATCCCAAAATATTTGTCACAATAAAGTACTAATGATTCGATTAATCACTTCTCATCCAAATTTCTTTCTATTTTACCCTCAACTGCCCTTTCATTTTTACCTATAAACCATTATTTAACGATGGATATTATAGTTTTTCTTCTTAAACCTTAATATATGCTAAACAATTTAGAATTATAATTACTTTGAGACGAAGGTAGTATTGTTTAAGAGACGGTATTTATCATTGCCATTGAACATGCCATAAAGACTACTACATAATTTCTTACTGATGATAACTCATCCAAAGAAATAAATGCTTCTAACGAGTGTTTCCCATAGAAATAAGCAGATATGCCTTTTTTTCCCCTGCCGTGTTATCCAGCTATTTTCTTTTTCAGCTACTAATAACGATCGACCTACCATACATCCAGCAAGCTAACAACCAACTTTCTATTCACTTACAATCTAGAAATAATTCTACCTTGAGATTCTGACCCCACAAATATGATTGCTAGTCAGTTGGAGTAATACAGAAAAATATGGTCTATATACACTCCTACGATATGTTAGTGATCGTATGGAAGATAACTCATTATATATGAAAAATAATTAAGACAACATATATGCAACCAGCCACAATATAGTACTCCCTCCATCTACTTTTGATTGATATTTTTCCAAATCTGAAAAATTTATTTTTGATAGGCATATTTCAATCCAACAACATATCCTCTTAATGACTTTCTCAGATTTCATGCGTGACTCTCTATTCTTCCACACAAGATTAACTACATGGGCATCAAGTAATGTAAATATTAATGAATCGCTTGTTTACGAGGAATAACTAGTAGCATATTTAAATGGATGATAAGTAGAATTATTTATCCTTGGTCTGTGTCCCAAGATGAAATATGACTATCAATGGAGGGAGTACTTTCTTAATAAAATAAATATCAAATTCGAAATTAATGATTTGTGAGTATGCATCTTCTATCATAGTACATTTTCTGATAGTTTCTACTACCCTAATTTTAAATTCTAAATATAGAATTAACAAATAAAAAGCGGTGAAGTCTTAGACTTGTACTTACGTTGGTTCAACAATTCTGAAATGACAACAACAAAGTTATACTCGGGGTGTGTTTAGTTCACGCCAAAATTGAAAGTTTGATTAAAATTGGAACGATGTGGCGGAAAAGTTAGAAGTTTGTGTGTAGGAAAGTTTTGATGTGATGAAAAAATTGAAAGTTTAAAGAAAAAGTTGGGAACTAAACCAAGCCTTGGTAAGGAATCATATACGTGTGGACATAGCCTCACATGTTAGCTTGTGGCATTGAAGACAGACTCAAACACCATCACTAGCATTATACTCAGTATAAAGTAGTATAGAGTCTAGATATAGTTTTTTTTTCATACCAAAGAAAGTGGTAACTCTTTTGATGAGAAAGGATTCCTTTCAAAAAGAGATTTATTTTATTTTTGAAAACCAGCTTGGGGTTCTTCTCACTGTAGATTGTGGTAATGTATACATGCGCGCCAACTTGGGGATTCGATGGTTTTCTCAAAGGTCGTCAGAACTAGCGCAAGTACCATTCAAAGAAAAAATATTCTACATTTAGCCCTTGTTTAGTTCCAAACTTTTTCTTCAAACTTCCAACTTTTCCATCACATCAAAACTTTTCTACACACAAACTTTCAACTTTTTCGTCAGATCGTTCCAATTTCAACCAAACTTCTAATTAGTTCATGAACTAAACACACCCTTATACATGTGTAACATGTCCAATTTGCGGGTCTTCTCAAAGGTCGTCAGAACTGGAGCAATTACTATACATGTGTGCCAACTTGGGGGGTATTCTGCAGTTATCATGTACTACACGTCTTCCATTCCCACTACAATGTTTAGGCAACAGCCAGCAGCCCTTTCAACCAATGATACATGACCCCAGTCCTTCTGACAGTCGTCTAAAATTCAAGAAATCTACCACCCTCTACTGATTTCACCGTGTCGTGTCTTTTTAAGTGGATAAAGCACAGCACTTGCGAAAATACCTTCACCACCATGTCGTCGTTCTCCAAGAGAGTCCCTCACCATGTGGCATCACTCCTAGCAATGATGCTCATCCTCCAGCTAGTCCAGGCCACCACGCTCGACGACCTTACGACGACCTCCTCCGAAACGACGCCGGCAATGTGCCTTCCAGACCAGGCTTCCGCGCTGCTCCGGCTGAAGCACTCCTTCAACGCGACGGCCGGCGACTACTCCACCACCTTTCGATCATGGGTCCCTGGTGCAGACTGCTGTCGCTGGGAGGGCGTCCACTGCGACGGCGCCGATGGCCGTGTCACCTCACTCGACTTGGGAGGCCACAACCTGCAAGCCGGCGGCCTCGACCATGCACTGTTCAGGTTAACCTCACTCAAGCACCTCAACCTCTCTGGTAACATCTTCACCATGTCCCAGCTCCCGGCCACTGGATTCGAGCAGCTCACCGAGCTCACACACCTTGACCTCTCGGACACCAACATCGCCGGCAAGGTGCCGGCTGGCATTGGGCGCCTCGTGAGCCTGGTCTACCTCGACCTCTCCACGAGCTTCGTCATCGTGTCTTACGATGACGAAAACAGCATCACACAGTACGCTGTAGACTCCATTGGGCAGCTCTCAGCACCAAACATGGAGACCTTGCTCACAAACCTCACTAACCTGGAGGAGCTCCATATGGGAATGGTGGATATGTCCAATAATGGCGAATTGTGGTGTGACCACATAGCCAAGTACACACCTAAGCTTCAAGTTCTTAGTTTACCTTACTGCTCACTGTCAGGTCCCGTATGCGCATCATTTGCTGCCATGCGATCGCTCACCACGATCGAGCTTCATTACAATTTATTGTCAGGTTCAGTGCCAGAGTTCTTGGCTGGCTTTTCCAACCTCACTGTTCTTCAGCTATCCACAAACAAGTTTCAAGGATGGTTTCCTCCCATCATCTTCCAGCACAAGAAGTTGAGAACAATTGATCTTTCTAAGAATCCTGGCATATCTGGTAATCTGCCAAATTTCTCACAGGACAGTAGCTTGGAGAATTTGTCCGTCAGTAGAACAAACTTCACAGGTATGATTCCGAGCTCCATCAGCAATCTCAGATCTCTGAAGAAGTTGGGCATTGGTGCAAGTGGTTTCTCTGGAACACTGCCCTCTTCGTTAGGTAGCTTCCTATACTTGGATTTGCTAGAAGTGTCTGGGTTCCAGATAGTAGGATCCATGCCGTCATGGATATCCAACCTAACTTCTCTTACTGTTCTCCAGTTCTCCAACTGCGGATTGTCTGGACATGTACCTTCTTCAATAGGAAACTTAAGGGAATTGATTAAGTTAGCACTGTACAACTGCAAGTTTTCAGGGAAGGTGCCTCCGCAGATCTTAAATTTGACTCATTTGGAAACTCTCGTGCTCCATTCGAACAATTTTGACGGCACAATAGAACTCACCTCATTCTCAAAACTGAAAAACCTATCCGTCCTGAATCTCTCAAACAATAAACTAGTAGTGGTAGATGGAGAAAATATTTCATCACTGGTGTCATTCCCCAATTTGGAGTTCTTAAGTTTAGCATCTTGCAGCATGTCTACTTTTCCCAATATCTTGAAGCATCTCGATAAGATGTTTAGTCTTGACATTTCACATAACCAGATCCAAGGAGCTATACCACAGTGGGCATGGAAGACATGGAAAGGCTTGCAATTTCTCCTCTTGAACATGTCGCACAATAACTTTACAAGTCTTGGATCTGATCCTTTGCTTCCTCTTCATATAGAATTCCTTGACCTCAGTTTCAACAGTATTGAAGGGCCCATACCGATACCACAAGAAGGTAGCAGCACATTAGATTACTCGAGCAACCAATTCTCATCTATTCCTCTTCATTACTTAACTTACCTTGGGGAAACTCTCACTTTCAAGGCCTCCAGAAACAAACTCTCTGGAGATATTCCACCATCAATATGTACCGCTGCTACGAATTTGCAACTCTTTGATCTCTCTTACAATAACTTGAGTGGTTCGATCCCATCCTGCTTAATGGAGGATGCCATTGAATTACAAGTATTAAGTCTAAAAGAAAATAAACTTGTTGGAAATTTACCTGATAGCATCAAGGAAGGCTGTTCACTTGAGGCAATAGATTTAAGTGGCAATTTGATTGACGGAAAGATACCCAGATCTCTAGTTTCTTGCAGGAACTTGGAGATCCTTGACGTTGGAAACAATCAGATTAGTGACTCCTTTCCATGTTGGATGAGTAAACTTCGTAAACTTCAAGTCCTTGTCCTCAAGTCTAACAAGTTCACTGGACAAGTAATGGATCCTTCATATACAGTTGACAGGAACAGCTGTGCATTTACGCAGCTCAGAATTGCTGACATGGCCTCAAACAACTTCAATGGAACATTGCCAGAAGCATGGTTTAAGATGCTCAAGTCCATGATTGCCATGACTCAAAATGATACACTAGTCATGGAAAATAAATATTACCATGGGCAAACATACCAGTTTACTGCCTCAGTTACATACAAAGGGAGTGACACGACAATTTCCAAGATATTGAGGACCCTTATGCTGATTGATTTCTCAAATAATGCATTCCATGGTACCATTCCTGAGACTGTCGGGGGGCTTGTACTGCTTCACGGGCTCAACATGTCTCACAATGCCCTTACAGGATCAATTCCAACTCAGTTTGGCAGGTTGAATCAACTTGAGTCATTGGACCTCTCCTCGAATGAGCTCACTGGGGGGATCCCCAAGGAGCTAGCATCACTCAACTTCCTTTCAACACTGAATTTGTCCTACAACATGTTGGTTGGAAGAATACCAAACTCATATCAGTTTTCCACCTTTTCCAACAATTCTTTTCTTGGAAACATTGGTTTGTGTGGACCACCGTTATCCAAACAATGTGACAACCCAAAAGAGCCCATTGTTATGACATACACTTCGGAGAAATCCACAGATGTTGTACTAGTCCTCTTCACTGCATTGGGATTTGGTGTTTCCTATGCAATGACAATCCTAATTTTATGGGGAAGGTGCATGAGAAAGCAACGCTGAGAGTACTTTGTGTATGTCAGTATGTATACAACTCCAGCAGTGTTGAGAGAGGCCAACATTTTGTAAATTGTGCTTTAATGCAGGCTCAATGGTATGTAATAAAATGAGCTCGCATTTATCACGTGGTAGCTAGTCCACTAGGTTCTTGTAATCATGTGCTGCTGGACAAGTTGGACACGTCTATGGTATATGTTGATCAAGTACTTTAATTCTGCAAACTTCACAACATAAATCATTGAAAAATATGTAGAAAACCATACCAAAATGTGAACTCTCCTTTGTTCCAATTGTGTGCTTTGGTGATGATAACATATACCAATATCAGCATTAGGTGATCTGCACTCCGAGTTTTTGCCCTGTTTTATAACTTTCTTGCCGCTAAGAGCTGTATGATCACAAGTTCACACGGGTAAGATCAGAACAATCATCACTTAAAATCATGAGAAGGCCAGTTTTTAAGGAGAATGTACTCCGAAAGAAAAAAAAAAGAAAGAACCATCCCTAGCCACTGACCTCAGCTGTCCTGAAGACTGGCTTTGTTCGTCACCACATCACAGGATGGCATTCATGTGTAAACACTGGATGAAACTCTCCAGGCTCTCTTAGGCAAAACGTCGAACAGGGTGCCTCCACAGTGAAGCTTGTCAACGTTAAACCAAAGCAAGTGTAACCGATCAATCTTCCTCCCGCCAACTCACACGCCTCTACGAAGAAGACGATTCATCCGGGTCATCAGATCGCATCCAAGGCGCAGCCCACACCACAATCTCATTCCCCAAGTCACCTGCAGCAAGCTGCAAACGAGGGGGGTCACAGACAGCATCAAGGCGCCAAATCATGGTCCACACACATCTCTGATCTCTCGCTCACCTCTCCCGTGATTACCTGCTGCGTGGCGGCGACGAGTACGTCCCCATCGACGTTCCTTCCCCTCCCCCCGCATCCGTCGCCGGCGAGCGCCACGGACCCTCGGTGTGTGTGCCTGTGCAGTGCGTGTGGGTGGGAGCAATTTGCAGATTTCTCCCATTTTAGGCTGTGTTCCCAGCCCCTCTCCCTAGTTTTCCACACGCACGTTTTTCAAACCACTAACCATTGTGTTTTTTATAAAAAGTTTTTATACGAAAGTTGCTTAAAAAAATCAAATTAATTTATTTTTGAAAAAAATAGCTAATACTTAATTAATCATGTGCTAATGGACCACTCTATTTTCCATGCGGAAGGGATTAGTTCCCATCCGTTGAATCAGCTTTAATAGCAACCGACGGTGAATTGCGTGTATGGACATATATAAATTGGTGGTATTTATTAGAGAGAGAATTTTATCTTGGGTCAAATTTTATTAATGATGTTTCGTTTTGGACTATCTTTTATCCAATGTTTTCAATTTAAACCGGGTTTTTACCTCTGTGTTATTTTGGACCACCATCCACTCTTTTATTCATCTACATCTAACTCGTCATTCTACGTGAAAGAAACGGTTCATATACAGTGAGAGTTTATTAACAAATAGAAATTGATATACTCGAATCGAGAGTATAGGTAGTCCAAAGTACAAACAAAGTTTAAATTATCTAGTCGAAAGTGAAAATATTGGTTAAAGAATGGCCCAAAAAGAAATATCAGTTATTATATTACTACCTCTGATCTTTTTTTATTTATTTATTATATTAAACTAGACAGTGTCATCTAAATAAAAGTAATGGAAGGGTATGTAGTAAAAATTGATAATTTGATCCTCTGTTAGTTATTGTTTTAATTACAGTGACACTATATCCTCGGCTGTGTTCGGTAGACAAGGTTGGCAACCTTGCCTCCCAACATAGAAAACCAAGCACACAATTATAGTAAGATTAATTAAGTTTTAGCCTAAACAAATTTGAAAAATAGATTAATATAATTTTTAAAACAACTTTCATATAGAAAACTTTCGCAAAAAATACACCGTTTAGCAATTTGAAAAGCGTGCGTGCGGAAAACGAGAGAAGTGAGTTGTGAAAGGGGAGAAAAGAACACAGCCAAAAGTGAACGGTAAAACTCAAAATGCAACGTCTCATTAAGCCACGTCAACTGAAAATATGGGCCATTGGATACAATAGTTGATATCATACATACCGTTAGACCATAGGTAAGTCTCAGTAAAAGAATGTTGAAAGGTCCAAAAATTATTCGAGAACCTTCCATGAGCTGATTGTGCATAAGGCAAGGTCATCAGACAATGTCCTACCATTTTTGCATCTTCATCCTAGCATAACAGTTATCATACATGTTGGTGGAGTCTAAACTTAGTATAAGAATATACAACACATCGGATCTCTGTTTTAACTTGGCCTAGAAAAGTTTACGATGCAACGCACCTTCCAAATTTAAATATCCTACCTTTTAGTTTACCTAAAATTATACTAAACTATGCATAAAATTACTTACAAACAACTTTTGTAGACTATATTCAAATGGCTACTATAATTCTTTTATTTAAAGTGATAGACGCATCTTTCAAATTCAGATTAACATATAAATTAACCCAGATTAGGCTCATTTGATTTTCTTTATCTCTATGCTACCGTGCTTTTTATATGGGTGGATGAGAGGAAATCAATTATAGTAGAAACTTGAGAGGCAACCCTAATCGGTAATCGCCTCCAGTCACCGGTTCATTCCGCTGGGGTGTTGGGTTGTACTCTAGCACACTACGCCTCCGCGTTATTGAACATGTTAAACAGGTCGAAAGGACAACCAGCCAACCAAGCCTAACCTTAAATTCAAGTCATTCTGCCAAAAAAAAGTATATTAATGCTAAATTGCGAAATGGTACAACAAATATTACTATAACACAACACTATTGCGCTTGCCATCAAATCTGCATTGCACTCACCATTCCTAGTTAACATTATTTATATGTAGTACAACTTTATTTCTTTAGGGGATAATACAACTTATTTTGCTGATTTCATTTGGTCGTAATTCTTACTTTTAATTGGATGATCAAAATAAACTTATTAGCTTAAAATTTACCTACACGATGTATGCCAACAAAATATAAAGGGATAATATGGGGGGCCATTCAATGGTGAGTACGATGAAAACACAACAGCATCGATGAGCGTACGTTAGAAGGTGTGCTAGTGACGTGAGTTCTCAAAAAATGAATGTAGTGATGTGTGCGTGCACGTTTTTCATGTATGTAATAAAAAAATCGGTTTGTATTCTCACTAAACAAGCTGCTAATTTCACTCTATCATTGACTTTTCAACTTCGCTTAACGTAATTCTTCATTTACATTGTTAATTGTTATAAAAAATTTCAGCTACTTACTATCAACAATACATAAACAATAAAAAGAGAGGTTAAAGCCATGCGAATGCACAACATGTTACGCTAGTAACAATGACACGTAAAACCATCTTAGGTTCTTAGTGGATCCAAGGTGCCAAATAATCGAAGCACAATTTGTAGTGTCAGAAAATCAAATCATAGTACCATGTAAATATCAGCGGTATAGAAATCTTCTTGATATAATTAATGTCAGGTTAAAAAAAGGGTTGTCAAGTCTTAATGTGCAAAATGGCTGAGCAATAAATTAGACTAGGAATATTCAGAACTTAGCCTGATCAACCAAAATGGGTTGAGTTTTTCAGCAGCGACTGCTAGTAGGTGTTTAGATAACACTGCCAACTTCTGGTCAGCTTTGCCAAAATACAGCAGTATGCTGCCAAATTGAGTGAGCAGCACAATTACATACTACTACAAGATAATATCAGCATTCAGTGGTTAACTAGTTGCTTCTCAGTTATATTACTAGCATTTGCACTATAATCTCTTGAAAAACTGTTATTTCAGCCGTCTACTCCTTTTCCTCGTCGGCACTTGGCTCTGCTCTTTCAGCCTTTTCTCCTTGAAGACCTTGACCATGTTGTACACCTGAAGTGAAAATTCATCTAAAAATTTTAATCAACTCTGAGGAAAAATATTTTTACCACATTGAATTTGTGCGTACCTTCCGGATTCCTGATGTCAATCCCATCGACTGGACTGCATTTTCGTTAATCAATCTCAGTTTGGTGCTATCTTGTCCCTCCTTGCATAATTCCTCCCCATCATCTACAGTAAAGAAATTAGGCAACTACATGTGGAAATTAATAATAGAATGTAGCTAAACAGAAATGAATAACTGCTAGTATGGACAACAAATGATTACCTTTGAGGTTCAAAATCATCAGCTCAACAAACATCGTCAGCCGAATGTGTGAGAAAATGTGAACATGTTGGCCAACATCTTCCCTGAGGATCACACTGGATCTCCTTGTAACATCTATGCTAAGAAGCTGCTTCAAATATTTGTCCATCTCTTTTCTCCTATTCAGCGTATCAGTCTTCCCTTCGTTCACAAGAACAGATGGGAACTCCCAGAGCCCAGCGAGAAGGCCCTCTTCTGGCCTCTTGATCAGTAGAAAAAGATTATCTTTGCCCTCTGCCTCTGCTATACCTTCACCAAAGCCTTGTGAAATTTGAACAACACAGACAGCAGCAAAATCAGACCGTGGTTTGGCTTTTGGGACTACTCGTGGGAAGTCTGTAACTTTGACTGAAGCATTTTGGCTGGAAAGTGCGAGCGCTTGGCAGTGGCTAGAGACAGGGCACTGAGAGCAACCAGGCTTCGTCTTGCTGCAGAGTGTTGCTCCTAGTTCCATCATTGCTTGGTTGAAGTCTCCTGGCCTTGAAGGGTCAACCAGTTCACCAGTGAGCTGCCTGTGATCAAGGAAATGATGTTCAAAGGCCATACAATTTGGAAGTTCTATTTCAGTATAAAGCTTCTAATTCAGAAAGAGCTGTATGGAAAGTGGTACGATAGGACAGTTCGAAATACAGCCATATACAGATAACATTTGCACTTGGATGGGGATCACAGAACTGCAAATTGAGCTTGTAAATTGTAATGCAAATTGGTTGTATGAACATACACATTTCGATTGAAATTGTATATCAGTATAATGCCAGTGCTGTGCAAAATAATGATAATGCAGTGAGATGAATTACCAAACTCAGTGCTATTTTAGTGCAAGCCATGGCCTATGTCTTATAGGTGATCAACAGAGGTAGTTGCCTACCAGAATCTCTTCACCGTTGAGGACTCCTTTGGGTTATCAGGAATAGCATAAAACCTGCTAATAACTCGAACAACATTTCCGTCCACAACAGGGACAACCTACATTAGCAAGAAAGTTACATAATCATGTGAGTATGTAAAGGATCACACCCATGGTGATTTGAATCAGATATAAATTATGTGGAGCACAACCTCATTGAAGGCTATGGAAGCAATGGCTCCTGCTGTGTAATCCCCAATGCCACGAACTTCACGGAGTGTTGATGCTGTGCAAGGGAACTCGCCTTTTTCAACAATTTGTTTTGCTCCCTACTTTGCAACAAAAGGTTAAATATTATTGAGCTATAAAGAAATTGAACCAAAAATGCATGCCCAGAATAATGCTTTGCTCCGTAGCAACATTTCTATTAGTTGCTCAGCACCATGCACATAGATGCATAGGCACTTATTCATTCATTTCATCTTTCAAGGAAAAAACATTTCTGCTAATGTTCTTGTCAGTTCTTCCACCCAAACTAGCCAAATCTTCACCAGATGAACTGATAACTTCACATGAGATTGCCAGCGAAAACAATGCAGCAGACATCACGAACTAGTAGCAATAATCCCCTCCTCTGTCAGACACAAAACGGGTTCCAAATAAAATCTCTCCTTTGGACAAAACATCAAACGGTTCATGGGCGCTCCACAGAACGCACTGAACAAGTGAACCTCATCCCAATCCCCGTCGTTTCGACCATGAATTCGTGATCAATCAACTCGCTACTCACCTCGAGCAGAAATCGAGCCCTCCGGTAATACCCGAGCCCCGCCCACATCTCGTTCACCTCCTGCAACAATCGGCGGCAACCACAAATCCACAACTTCATTACCACTCTCGCACACACCTCATCAAACATTGCATTTTTTTTCCAGCGATAGTGGAGGAGAGATCTTTCCCTAATCTCACCTCCTGCGTGGCGGCGGCGAGGCTGTCCACGGTGGGCCAGCGGGCCATCCACCGGGAGTAGTAGTCGACCACCACGGGTACCCGCGTCTGCTGCAGCATCACCTCCGACACCCACACCGCGTACGCCCTCTGCTCCTCGCCGCGCCCGCTCCCGCTCCCCGCCGGCGGCTCCGCGGCGCGCCGCCATGGCAGGTCGCGCCGGTTTGCGTCGTACCACCGCAGCAGCTCCGCGCGCACCGCCGCGGCGGCCGTGGTGGGCCCCGCTACCGCCCTGCACCCGGACGGCGACGCCAGGTCCTCGATGTCCGCGGAGGCGGAGGCGGTGGCGGTGGCGGTGGCGGCGGCGGCGCGAGGTCGCCGCGTCGTGGGGCGGCGGTTCTTGGCCGCCTTGGGGTTCTTGGCCATGGATGCGAAAGGGCGGATTTTTTTTTTCTTTTTGAATTTTTTGAATTGACGAGCTTGGCCGCTTGGCGCCAGCGAAACAAAAACCTTATCGAGCAAAGAAATGAACCTCACCCCTCCACCTGGTTTCTTTTTTGGCACCGTATTACTTTTCCTATTTTAGTAAATTTATACATCTCAAGTTTATACACCTCAAGTTTACGCATCTAAAGTTTAGATACTAAAAGTTTATAAGTCAAAAGTTTATATATCCGATTCAAATTTGAATTTGAATTTGAATTCAAATATTTTTTATATATAGAATTTCTATACATCTAAAGTTTATACACCTAAAGTTTATATACCCGTTTCAAATTTGAATTTGAATTATATCTGATTCAAATTTGAATTTGAATTTGAATTCAACTATTTTCTATATATAGTATTTCTATACACCTAAAGTCTATAGACCTAAAGTTTATAAGTGAAAAGTTTATATACCCGTTTCAAATTTGAATTTGAATTATATCCGATTCAAATTTGAATTTGAATTTGAATTCAAATATTTTCTATATATAGTATTTCTATACATCTAAAGTTTATACATTTAAAAATTTATAAGTCACAAGTTTACATATCCGATTCAAATTTAAATTCAAATTCAAATTTGAATCGGATATGTAAACTTTTGCCTTATAAACTTTGGATCTATAAACTTTAGATGTGTAAACTTTACGTGTACTATATATAAAAAATATTTAAATTTAAATTCAAATTTGAATCGGGTATATAAACTTTTAACTTATAAACTTTGGATCTATAAACTCTAGGTGTATAAACTTTAGATGTGTAAATTTAAGATGTAAAAACTTTAGGTGCAAAAATTTACTAAAATAGGAAAGTAATGCGGTGCCAAAAAGGAAACCACGTGAGGAAACAAAAAAAAAAGCGGTGGAAAAGACGAGAGCAGGTGCACGAGCCTCGCAAAAAAAAATGAATGAAAACTGATCGCCGCGCTGAGATTCCAGCGACCGATCGCGCATTAGAGATTTCGTGCTTACGATGGGTGTTTGCAATTTCTTGTTTCAAAATAAAGTAGAAACGCACGCGCTCCTAACGTGTAAATACTTTTATGAATTTTTACACAGACACCTACCTTATGTGCATATTTTAAGATTAACCAAGTAAACGCAGAGGTTTCACTGTCGACGGATATGACCTATACCCGAGTGGCCAGGTTCCACTGAGGAACCTAAACAGTTGAGATATGCTCACTTCACTTGGTGTTTGCAATTCTGAAATCTAGCCAAGTGAGATGACAAATTTTGAAATGCTTGGGATCTTGAATAGAATTTGTCGCTGACCGAGTGGTCTGAGAAGGCTCTAAAATTTAGCAATGAAATTCAACCAAGCATACTTTTTTGGGTTAATTGGACACATGACATTGCAAATTTATCATATTAGAAAAATACCACTACTATTCACGATATTGGCTGGATGCCACTGAAATTTTACAAAATTGGATCCATGCCATTGTCGTCACGTTCTCTTCTTCCTTTAATTCTTTTCTTCTTCCACGCCGGTCGGCCGCGCCCCCTTCTCCTCCCCCACATCTGGAACATGCGGTGGTGCACCACCGTGCTAGCTCCACGCTCCCGGCCTTGAACCACGCTCCACGCTCTCCCGCATGATCCGCATCTCACCGTTGGCCATGATCCCCACCAGCTTCAACTCCATCCCCTTCCTAAGGCAGCTGATGGCATAGGCGGAGTCAGGGACGGAGGCAGATGGCGCAAGCAGAGTCAGGAGCGGAGTCAGATGGCATAGGCGGAGCTAGGGGGCATCGCCGGAGATAGGGCATGGGGCGCGGAACAGGATGGCGAGCCAGGCGGTGGCTGGCCACGCCGGGGAGCATGAGGACATTGCAGGTACTTGTTGGCAAGGATGGTGACCCCCGCAGCCATGCCGCATGCCTCTAGCATGGGGTCGGCATCGGAGGAGGAGGTGGCGATGGCAGTGGCGGCGTAGTACTTGTCGACTCCAAGGTTGACGACTTCGGCGACGGACAAGTTGGCGCGGTCGCACGGAGGTGCGCAACGACAACGTCCTTGAGCGGATGGTTGAAGGCGTTGGCAACCGCGAAGATCTTGAAGCGGTGGTCGACGGCGGCTGCCATGGGGGATCTGAGCTAGGAGAGAGATAGGGAAGAGGGGAGGATGGAGAAGGAAGATGAAACTGATATGTAGGTCCAATGTCTAAGGGTATTTTGGTCTATATGAAGATGGAAAACGTGACACCAATGGCATGGATCTAATTTTACAAAATTGTACTAGTACCCAGTCAATATTGCAAATAGTTTTGGTATTTTTCTAATATGACAAATTTGCAATGGCATGGATCCAATTAACCCTACTTTTTTGGATGGAACATTGAAGATTCCATAACTAAATGCTACGCTTATATCGCGTGCCACCAAATCATCCACATAACTGTGGGCGCATACTTCACCCATACTCTTCTCATGCGGATGTACGTGATACAAGTTGTGTTAGGCCTTTTTTTTATAGTGAGCCACATGTCATATGCGCTGGCCTAGTTTTATTTTTCTTTTTACCAATTTGATTGTAATCTTAAGTTGGATTTTGAAAAACCCTTTGACACCATTGAGCATGAAGTTGTTTTGGAGATTATGAAGCATATGGGGTTTCCATCCAAATGGTTCTAATTGGCATATAGCATTTTCATTATTGTAACTGCCTCTAACTCAGTGCTTCTCAATGGAGTTCCAAACTCCTTATAGTGTGTTCTTTTGCTGGCTTTCCCAACTCAGCCCTTTTGTTTTCCGCGCATGTTCCCAAACTGCTAAATTATGTGTTTTTACAAAAAATTTATATACAAAAGTTGCTTTAAAAAAATCATATTAATCCATTTTTCAAAAAATAGCTAATACTTAATTAATCATGCGCTAATGAGTCACTTCGTTTTACATGCTGGAGGGATTAGTTCCCAACTCACTCCAACGAACACAACCTTTAGTGTAGAAGAGGAGTAAGGTGGCCACATGGGGAGATCCATCCACTGTCGCCCCTGTTTTTTTGTCCTGGGAGCTGATTTGCTCCTAAGCATTATCAACAAGGCATGTCAAATGGGACTGATATGCAAACCTATCAATGAGCCTGATGGAGGCGGATTACCAATTAGTCAATATACTCGTGATACTATAATCCTGATGAGGGCTTCACATAATGAACTTTTTTTTTGCCTTAAAGCTTTGTTGAATATTTTGCTCAGCCCACTGGCCTCAAACTGAATTTTCATAAGTCAAAGTGTAATACCTCGTAATGTACTAGAAGTAAAAGGTGGAACAACTAGCTGGTACTTTTGGGCGTGTAGTAGGAACTATTCCATTTACATATCTATACCCTTACCTTGTACTACAAGGTCAAGGGATTAAAATCATCTAACCTATTTCTCTCTAACCTGTGTTACTGACATATGGGCCCTCTACCCAGTAGACCTTTATGTCAGTGACTTAAAGTCTGAGGGAAGTAAGTCAAAGGATCATCTTCCCAAGGTCATGGGTAGTGGATCATGCTCATTTGACAGACAGCATGGAGAGAAGGCTCATAACAAGTGTTATTTTCTTGAATTATGGAGGAAGAACAACCTTAGTATTTTCTTTAGGGACAAGCTGACGCTACTGGCTGAGGATTTATATGTAAAGAACCTTGGGGTACAACCAGTTTTACATAAAAGCCCAGTGAAGATGGGTAAGTTACATATAGGCCCAGAATTATGCAAAGAAGGATTTAACAAGAAATAGGAAAAGCAACCAGGCCGTCGATGCACACAATGACGGTGAAAGCAGGGATATCATGGCAAGTTGTAGAAGATCATGCCTTGGCACGAACCCAAACAGGGCCTCACAAGGGGGGTTGAGGCCTCAGCAAGAAAAGAAAAAAACCAGCCATATCTTGTATGTCTACCACCGGAGTCAACGAGGAAGATCGATGCAGAAGCAGATCCATGGCCAGCACAACCTGTTCCTGGGGAGATTTGGCGCACTCCCATAGAAGGCATCGAAGTAATACCTAATAGACTTTGAGCAGGAAAAGAATTTTGGAACAAAGACCAACGATTTCATCCATATTCGAAGCAAGAGGAATAAGGGCAACTGTATGACAGTGGTTCCCTTTATCTTTACAATACTACGAGACTAACTTGAGAAACAGGAACAACCTGACACAGGAGAAAAGAGAAGCTCGACCCCTCTCATTCCCTACATCGGCTGCAAGCCATCGGAGTCTAGAAGGAAAAGGGGCTGAAGTGGGGAATTTTTTAATATAGCGCTCTTTTTGCGAGAGCTTGAGAGCAAAAAAGAAAAAAAAAACTATGCTCTAACCTATAAATTCAGTTATGTCCTCTCTTCACAACTACTATAGTCTATAATGCTTACAGTAACTGTAATAGAAACAATTGATCTAGCTAGAAAACATTGCCTAAGGAGGGGTTTTGATCCTAATTTCAAAAGGAAATCTTTGGCAGCCTCAGATAAGGTCCGCAGGCCAAAGAATAAAGGAGGTATAGGAGTGATCAACTTGAGGTTGCAAAATGCACTTCTTTTGAAGCACCTAATTAAGTTTTACATGGCCATGGATCTTCCATGGGTAAAGCTAGCTCACCTGGAATACTACATTCGTCTCAAAATATTACAGCCTAGGATGGGTCATAGGTTATAACATTTTGGGATGAAAGAAGTAATTATGGCAGTGAAGTTCCACATATGCAGTTGAATAAAGTATCTTTTTGGTGAAGAGATATGATTAAGATTAACTTGGCTGAGATATTCAGCGGAATAACTCAATGCTTTGTAACTTCGGGTACAACAGTCCTTTTCTAAGACGATATGTGGAATTGTGATATGAGACATACTACCAAACATCTAGCTCAGTGTTCTCATGCAAAGAGCAGAATGGAATCGGTCAAGGTAGTTTGCTCTAGACCACTAGAGCAATCTTTCTACCTCCCTGTCTCTTCAAGCCTACACTGAGTTCCAGCAGCTGCAATTAGAGATTGATAATTTGCATCTTCGGGGGAGATAAATGGATGTTTAACATGGAATAATCTTGCGTATACATCCGAAAGATTTTACAATTGAATTTTATTTCAAGAGGCCTTTTGTTTGGATTTGGTCATTTGGAAATGAAAGTGTGTGATGAAGATAAAAGTATTTATTTGGCTGCTATTTTCAAATTGCCTAAACACAAGGGACATGCTGGACAAGAGGCATTATGCTCCGGATAATGCCGTCTAACATGTGCAATTTGTACATCTGGGCAAAGAGAAACTCTGTTACACCTTTTCTTTCTATGCAGTTTTAGCAAACAATGCTGGAGGAGGATTGGATTTCGGTGGAACACAAATCTAGAGTTCTTTCAGACGATTGCTTGGACTCAGTTTGCATTCCAGCGAAAAGGTTTTTCTAGATTATGTCAAAGAAAATTATTAAAAATTATGTAAAAATAAAAGGTTTTCTAGAGATTATGTTCCTGCCATGTTAGCATATCTGGAAACAGCCTAACAAAATGATCTTCCAAGGTATCAACATAAAAAAAAAATGTTGGGATGCCTAGAAGGAGCTAGTCATCCAATGGTATTAAGATAGGAGAAGCCACATATTTTTCCAACCCTTCATTTAATCCAGGTGGAATATGAGCGGGTCGAGAGGTCAAACCTAGGTCTGCTGGGTGAAAGCAATCAACCCATACCAACCGATCTAGGCACAGTTCTCAAGGTATCAATATAGATTTGCCTTGTTCAAGAAAGAAGTTCTCCTACATAGTTGTAGGACAAAAGAGTTCTACCTCTATGTCAGACAGTGCTTGACTGGTTACAAAGTTTATGACATATAACTCTTTTTTGGTTCTCTTTCTTTCCCCTTTTTGTAACTCCTATTGTACAGTCATTGTTTCATATTTGTAAAAGTTAACTGCTGAGCAAGCCTGGTAGTGATTTCAGTAAAAATGTCCCCTGGCAGCTGGAAAGAAATATTCACCCAACTCAAGAATCGTCATACTCTGTTGGTGAAAACATAGCTAACAAAAATGGTGTGCACAATCCTCATTAGCCCTCTCGCATAGCCGGCACCCCTTTTCTGAAAATTGTCTGCCACATCTTCCGTTGATCGCCAACCACATGAAGAATCTGACATTTGAAGGTGCCCTCGTCTTCCAGATCAGTTTACCATAGCTTGATTTCTTCTGGCCGTGCAGAACATGTTGTATGCAGAGGAAACAGAAAAGTGCCATCAATTATTCAATGGCGTCCCATAAATTCACATACTCTCAGATCACTCTGTTTGAAGGCGTGCCATCAATATCTTGAACCCAGGTGTGATTCTGTAGTTCCTTGTGCAGTGTCAGGCCTGTTATTTTGACATAGCTGAAGAGAGTGGGCCTTGTGCTCTCAATACTTCCACCTGGGAGCCAATTTGCCCTGCAGAAATCGATGCTCTTGCCCTCTCCCACCACATATTTCATTGCCGCAAAGAAGCAGCTTTGTAACTCCTTCTCTGGCTTCATACTCGGTACCGTCCATGGCCAATCAGATGTGCTTGTCAGTTGTCGCTACACTGACCATTGGAGACAAAGCGTCTGTCCAAACAAATAGAGATCTTTATGCTGGTCACCCTTTTCAATTGGCATGCAAACCATGCACCATGCTACCAGACAATGTCCCCCACTGACCTCCTCTTGTCCTTTCCACAAGAATCCTTGACATTTTTGCTCAATCTCCTCGATCGCCCATTGTGGTAGTTGCAATGATGCCATAAAATGTAGTGCCATGACACCGTTTTGATTAGTCTGAGTTGACCTCCTGAATGCAGCAGTTATGGCTTCCATTCAGCCAACATCGGTGGTTGTGCCTCCTCTTTTGTTAGCCTTAGGAGGGAAAGTGGCGGCCCAAATAGCTTATTTGGAAATCCTCAAATCTGCAGATCAGAATTGATTGAACCATTTTCACCAATGTTTCATCACATCGTATGTGGGTGATCACACTTTTCATCAAGTTTGTTCGTAGTCCAGTTGCTGCCCCAAACATATTCATGATATTTTTAATTGGCCAGGCATCTTCTTCTGTTGGTGGGACAAAAATAACCGCGACATCCGCATACATGGAGACCACTGGCGCTGCCAATTTGTTATCAACCTTGGCCAGAGTCCTTGCATCGATAGCCTTGGACAATATGGCATGCAAGGTATCCATTACCAGAACAAAGAGGAGGGGTGACCGAGGGTCCCCCTAACGCAGATCCCTTGATGGCTTAAAAGGTTCGCCCTCTACCCCCATTGATTCCCACTGAAGTATCTGCAGTGAGAAGTAGTTCAACAATCTAGTTCCTCCACCTCAGGCCAAAACCCTGGTGCTGTAGCATTTGAAAGAGAAAACCCCAAAAGACCAAATAATTGTAACATCTAGTTTAAGGATAATCATTGTTTTGTGACACCATTGGAATTGTTGTGCCGTCCCTTCCACAAACATGAAATTATCGTGAATGGCTCTTCCTCTGATGAAAGCTGATTGTGTGTGTATGACGCCAATTCCCAATCCTGCTCGCGGAGTCTTGTAGCCATCAACTTAGTGGCCAGTTTGGCAAAACTGTGAATCAAACTTATGGGCCAGTAGTCCTTCAGCATCATTGGGCCTTCCACTGGCAGCAGAATGACCCTGTGTTTGTTGCCATTGTATAGCTTGACTTCTCGTTTGATCATGGCCCAGCATGATATATAGAAAAGACCTGTGAAACCGTCTGGCCTTGGTGCCTTTTTACTGGATAATTCCTTGATTACACTCCACACTCCCTCTTCTGTGAATTGCGGTTCTAGGTCAGACAGATCTGCTGTTACCAAACCTAGTGCTTGAAGATCCATCACTCTGTTTTCCTTGTCGGCAACCCCCATCACCGAATCAATATATCCCCTTGCCATGTGACCATCATGATTCATGCTAAGGGCCGATAATCAACTTGTGCCGTCACACACTCACGCCTTAGCTTTCATGTGGAAGAAATATGTGTTTGCATCCCCCTCTTTAAAAACTTTATTCTTGCCCTTTGCCATACGCTTATCCTTTCTAGGGAGGCAAGCGTCAGGTAGAGCCTGCCCTTTGAGTCCAGCCCTGAATCGCAGCTCTTGCGACAACAGGGACCTGTTTCCTTGTGCTACATCCAGTTGGAAGATAATCTTGTTTGCGATCTGGAGACGCGGCCTCAGGTTGCTTATCTTCCTCTGTCCCCAATGGCGCAACTTCTTCGCCGCTCTGGCCATCTTGACATAGAGTATCGAAGAGGGACCCTGACTGTCAACCTTCTGTTGCCACACCTCCTGGACCACCTCCTGAATGTCATCCAGTTTTGTCCAAAAATTTTTGAACTTGAGCTCAACAAGCACCGTCAAGCAAATGTGTGAGAAAATGTGGATATTGACCAACATCTGACCTGAGGATCATACTGGATCTCCGTTTCACATCTATGCTAAGGGATTGCTTCAAATATTTGTCCATATCTTTTCCCTGTTCAGTGCATCACTCTTCCCTTTGTTCACGAGAACAGATGGGAACTCCCAGAGCCCAAGGAGCAGGCCCTCTTCTGGCCTCTTTTTTTTTTCACCAGGCCGGCGAAGACAGCCGGCCAAAGTATATTAAGAAGGAGAGCTCTTCTGGCCTCTTGATCAGTAGAAAGAGATTAAAGCCGTTGCCCATTGCATCAGCCGTACCTTGATCCAAGCCTTGTGCAATTTGAACAACACAGATAGCAGCAAAATCACACCGTAGTTTGGCTTTCAGAACCACTCGTGGGTAGTGTGTAACTTTGACTGAAGCACTTTGGCAGGAAAGTGAGAGCGCTTGGCAGCAACTAGAGACAGAGGGCACTGGAAGCGACTGGGCTTTGTGTCGCTGCAGAGTGTCGCTCCTAGCTCCATCATTGCTTGGTTCAAGTCTCCCCACCTCGAAGGGTCAAATCACTAAGCCATTAAGCTCCCTGTGATCAACGAGTCAATGTTCAAGAGACGTGGAAGTTTTCAGATCACTGTAAAGCTTAGCTGTATGAGAAAATAATATGATTACAGGAGGATCAACTCAATATGCAGCTGTATACAGAGAAGGCTTGTTCATGGGACTGCAAATCGAGCTTGTAAATTGCGGTGCAAATTGTTTTTTTTCTTTTGCGAGGAGTGCAAATTGGTTTTATGAACATGAGCAGTTTGACTGAGTGGTATATCAGTCCAATGTCAGTTCCGTGCAACATACTGATATGCAATGAATTACTAACTCGGTACTATTTTAGTATTACTATTTATAATATGTATGTGTACAGCTTTACTGGTGACCAACAAAGATAGTTGCTTACCAGAGTCACTTCAACAAATCACCGTTGAGGAGGGTTATCACTTATCAGGGATATTATTTACCTGCTGATAACTCGAACAACAGTACCATGATTGCATCCACAACAGGGACAACCTATATTAGCAGGAAAGTTGCATAATCATGTGTATGTAAAGGATCATATCCACAGTGATTTGAATAGGATATAATTATGTGGAACCCAACCTCATTGAAAGATATAATTATCTGAGGAAATATTTTTACTACAATGAGTTGTGCGTCCCTTCTGGATTCCTGATGTCAATCCCATGCGACTGTATTCTCATTAATGAATCTCAGTTTTGGTGCTATCTTGTCCCTCCTTGCATAATTGATCCAAATCATCTACAGTAAACAAATTAGGCATAACATGAATGATAGGATGTAACTGCTAGTATGCTAGTGTGGACAACAGATGATTACCTTTCAGATTCAGAATCATCAGCTCAACAAACATCGTCAAGCGATTGTGTGAGACAATATGAACATGTTGACCAAGATCTTCCTTGAGGATCACCACTGGATCTCCATTTCACATTTGTCCACCTCTTTCTCCTGTTCAATGCACCAGTCTCTTCATTTACAAGAACAGATGGGAACTCCCATAGCCCAGAGCGCAGGCCCTCTTCTGGCCACTTGATCAGTAGAAAAAGAATATTCATGCCCATCGCATCTGCTATACCTTGATCCAACCCGTGTGCAATTCGGATAACACAAGCAGCAACAAAATCACACCGTTTTGGTTTTTGGAACCAGTCGTGGGTAGTCTGTAACTCTGACTTAAGCATTTTGGCTAGAAAGTGAGAGCGCTTGGCAATGGCTAGAGACGGGGCACTGGGAGCAACCAAGCTTCACCTTGCTGCAGAGTGTTTCTCCTAGTTCCATCATTGTTTGGTTGAAGTCTCCTGGCCTTGAAAGGTTAACAGGTTGACCAGTGAGTCCCTTGTGATCAGGAAAACAATGTTCAAAAGCCATGTGGAAGTTTTCAGATCAGTATAAAGTTTCCAATTCAAAAATATTTGTATGAACCGTTTCAAAAAAAAAAAGCTGTATGAGAAAAATGACATGATTAGGGCTTGCACTTGGATGGGGATCAGGGAACTGCAAATTGAGCTTGTAAATTGTATTGCAAATTGGCTATATGAACATGTGCATTTTGACTGAAGTTGTATACAGGTAGTTCAGTACAATGCCAATGATGTGCAAAATAATGATAATGTAATACAATGTATCACCAAACTCAGTGCTATTTTAGTACAAGTCACAGCAGTAGGACGGAAGACCTTGGCCTGGCAGACTGGTGGATGCAGGTCAGACTGTTTTCGGAAGTGCTACAGGACCAACTTCGACCGCACTTGCTTGCTGATTTGCTGGCAAATATGGAAGGAACACAATGCACGGGTATTTGATCAACAATCCAGAAGCCCTGACCAGCTAGTGGAAGCTATAAAAGAAGAGATTGTGGTGTGGAAAGAAGCTGGCTGTTTCACGGTATATAACTCTTAATTTTCCAGCTGCGGTGTTGTAGTTGTTCCTAGCTTGTGGGGGCTGCGGCTTTGCCACAGCACCAATTCGACAGCCTACTGTCGTTATAAGCAAGAAACTCTTTGTAACTCTATTTTTTCTCCTATCTTAATAAAATTTGGTCGCCGGTTCCTTTGGTCGACCCGGCAAAAAAAGTACAAGTCACAGCACATAGGGATATGTATCTGCACAGATTTATCAGTGATCAACAAAGATAGTTGCTTACCAGAATCTCTTCACTGCTGAGGATTCTTTTGGGTTATCGGGAATAACGTATAGCCTGCTGATAACTTGAACAATATTTCCATCCCCAACAGGGACAACCTACATTAGCAAGAAGTTGCGTAATCATGTGAGGATGTAAACTCTTCACTGCTGAGGATTCTTTTGGGTTATCGGGAATAACGTGTAGCCTGCTGATAACTTGAACAATATTTCCATCCCCAACAGGGACAACCTACATTAGCAAGAAGTTGCGTAATCATGTGAGGATGTAAAGTATCTTAGCCATGGTGATTTGAATAGGATATAAATTGTGCTTCTGCTGTGCAAGGGAACTCGCATTTTCAACAATTTGCTTTGCTCCCTACTTTGCAACAAAAAAGGTAAATCTTATTAAGCTACAAAGATATTCATCCCAATATGCATGCCGAAAATATTGCTTTGCTCCCTACCAACATTTCTATTAGCTGTCTCTCAATTCATCTTTCTTGTGCATTGATTCTGTGTCCACTTCACTAAAATACGAGCCTAACTTTTTTTGCTGCTGCCACAATAACAACAGATTCTGGGGATGCAAATCAATTGCTACATGCCCATAGACAAACTTGATAAGTCCAATGAGCTAAAGAAAACACACCATCTGATGAGCACGTAAGAATGTAATATCCAATGTTAGCAACAAGAACCAATATGGCCCCAACTACAACACAAACAGTAATACTATACTACTGCCAATATTCCCAAAATACCATACTACTGCCAATGGTAACAAAGTGCACTGAAGAGTAGAGCTTACAACACTCCAGCCTTCCAGGTAAGGTAGGTCTCCCAAAGAGGTTGGCAATGCACCAGTCAATTGATTGATTGTCTCAAGGTGACTGCAGTTCAGAGGAAAGCATCCTAAGGAGTAAACAAGAAGAATAAAATTTCCAAAGTATACAAAATAATGGGAGCACACATATACTGTAAATCACAGCAGTACCGCACCCAGTGAAATCAGGATTTTGACCAGATAATGAGCTACCATCAGTACTTCTGAATTTGAAAAAAAACAATTATGTAGATCAGATAAAATCCAACTATTAGCAGAGGAGAGGAAATAATTAACATTCTGAGCTTAAATTTTACAAGCCCCGATAGCCTCATTAATTTCCTTTAATGTTCTTCCCTAATAATATGCTGGAAAAAATAATCCTTAGATTTCAAATACTTCAAATGTTGACCAGAAAACCACATTAAGAGAAGGCAGATGACATGACCATTATACATTGAAAGTATCTGGGGTCTTGCCTCTGAACTGCATTCACCCAAGACCATCATGCTCGTAAGCAAAGGTCACCACCCTCTTTCACCCAACCCGATTCAGAGTACCGTGAGACCAAGATGGACATGGTGCTTGCTGTTAATATTTACCACAAAACAGAATTAGAAGAGAGCAGGTGAATTTTCTTTTCATCTATTCTAAAACACACAGACATACAATTGCCTTACCATCTTGTATTGGTAGATCTCCATGGAATTCAAGATAGAGATAGGTCGATCAGACGAATCATTTGTCCTCTTGAATCCAAACCAAAAAAAGATGGAAGTGGACATGGAACATTCGTTCATTAAGCAAGACCTTCCCTGAGCATTCTCCTGTACATCAACAGTTGGTTTACTGAATTTTGTCTTGCCTGAAATGGCTAGACATTCAATATTTGCAAAATATGAAACTGCCCATGCATTTCCTGGGAAATCTTCCAAATAAATATGGTAGGTAGAGCACCCATTTTACCAACTACAGCAGTTTGCATGACCGACCTTTTCAGATGCTACTTTGTAGACACTGCAAATAGGAATTTTGTAGTTGATATTCATTGTCCCTAGAGCAACATCGAGAAGGTAATTTGCTCGTGACACTAAATCAGGCTTTTATATTCCATCAAATGGAGTATTGGATACCTGAGCAATAATAAAGGAACAGAGGAGGCACAACCCTTCAGCTAGTTGTTTACATCAAATGTTCTTTTCTTAAAAAGTGCTATGTGTGTTGCAGCATGTAATACCAATTGAAGTGGATACAAAGATCAAGCTTGTTAAGCACACATTACTGTAGTTCAGCTACCTCTCTAAGACGACCTTTTCATCACAGTAGCATGTGCAGTCAGTTATTCCTTTAACGCAAAATTATATATATTATTGATGTTAAGTTTTACAAATGAACCACATTTTGTAATCTACTAATATTATGGGTTTCTAAACAACTTATTTCATCCAAATGTTTTGAACCCATTTAAAGCTATTGACAACGAAAGTACTAACACAATGCTATGCAGTAGTGCATACCTGACTGACACATTGCTTTATGCACCAAACTTTGTGACTGGACGGTCCAAGAGCCCCTCCTCCTCAACAACACCCTCAGGTAGGCCAGCGGAGCATCTTCTTCTGTTTAATATTCAAAATCAACTACTTTTCAAGGAAAATATACATACTAATGTGAAATTTTAACACGTATTTTATGTGCATTGTGCTCACAAGCAGTTGTATTACTAATCCAAATGAGAACATTGGAAGTTTGAAATGCCTATGATAGTATGAATGTATGATGTCAAGTAAACTGACCTCTCCAAAAGCCTCCATTTTTAAAATAATCTTTACTGATTCAGTATTTATCCCTGATCTACCCACTGAAATGACTTATTCCTTCTGCAGAAATTTAGAATGACACACTATCAACACAATATGTAATTGAAGACGATTAAGTTCACACATTCGGATTTTCATTGCAGACATACTCTATGTAAGATGCACCCTCTAAAGACGACAACTTGCTAGTGTCAAACTCAATTATGTCTTCAGTATTTGGTTCTAAAGGAAAGCAGGGGAGTCCTCCACAGGCTCAATGGTTGAGGTGGAAACAGCACCTCAATAGGTTCAATCTCTTCGATAGTACCCCATACCCCGTTCCTCAGACAAATCATAGAACTCATTTGGTATACCATTTCTAGCACCATCACAACTTTTAGTACGAACTGCTGTGTAGTAGCTCTGATTTCCAGCCAACAGAAAAACAACACCTGGCATTTCTTGATTACTTCTATTTTCAGATTTTTTTTTTGAGTACGTTATAACACTTTCTGAAAAGGATTGCTTCAGAAACAAACATTAGCACCTCAATACCAGGAAATGAAGAGACCAAAATGTTGAGAGTGCCATTCCACAGGAAGATTGGAAGCAGCAAAGAAATTGGTTGGCGGCTGCTTTGTTAGATGGGATCTACCATTTAGATCCTCAAGCTGGTTAGATCTGGGAGGTTTTACAACTGATCAAATATTTCCACAAAAGCACCTTGCTGGATTTCTTTGAGCAGTATCAACATGTAATGCAGGAGCCTTTCCCTTAAAGTTAGTCAAACAATGAGGTATTTAGGCCTTCAAAAAGGAACATTCTCATGAAAAATGAGAAACTCACAGAAAGAAGGGAAGAATCAAACAAGAAATACAAAGTTGACATATTGAAAAAGTTCATAACTAGAAGTGTTAAAAGCTAAATTTTCTCCAAGCATGAGAAATAAAATATTTACAAACTCACATACATTTTTACCCTCTAATAATTTCCCCATCACCTCAGGTTCCACATATGCAATTACACATGATTATTACCTTATAAGTTAGTGACTAGCATCTTCCATATGAATCAGGTGCCACAATTTTTTCCATGCATTTTTAGTTAATAATTTGCAAAGATTGCTTAGATGTAAATAAGAACTTAACATGGAACAGAAATATATTAATACTTCAAAGTATTTGAAAAATAACATCTTATTTTTCATGCTATACGTAAACAAGAAACAGCATCAATGACTATGTACAAAAGAGCATAACAGATTACCTGAGCGAAAATTCCAACTGGAGGTGAAGGGATTCCAAGTGATGGTGACTTAGCAGACATTGGTGTAGGGACAACAACAGAACTGAAGGTATGGCCAAGATTGTTACGCCCTGCTTGCAGTCAAAGGATTCACCGTCGAGCCGCCAGAACAGTGGGGATGAATTCTTTTCATTATCCCGACAACGTTTCATTAGTTACTGTAACTGTCTATTTAAACAGATCAATATCCTCACAAAAACTGTCCCCGCACAGCATACACATGACATTCACATCACTAGACGATGCCTTCTTCAGGATATGCATTTCCATTTCCCACCTTCCCATCGTCTCCTACCTCTAGCTCCAGGCCTTGATTCTTCCACCTGTAACACACCCTGTGGTGTGACATTGCCACCCCCTTGAGGCGATGACAAAAAACAAGCTTACATATCATGGTAATCTTCCAAGTAGCACAAGCCGATGGCATTTCTCCCCATTGCACCAACACTTGAGTGTGAACAGTGTTACCCTTTTTAACAAGACAGCAATTCAGAATTGCAGATGGTTCCAGTTCTCTAATGTGCTGTTGAAATGGAGAGGGCAATTGAGAAAAGATCGGAACATGAGCTGGCACAAACTGCTTGAGCTGAGAGACATGAAAGACAGGGTGGATAAATGAATCTCCAGGAAGCCTGCAATTTGTATGCCACTTCCCCAATGCGAAACAAGATGGAAAAGGACCAAAATACTTAAAAGCTAATTTGGGTAAAGCTGAAGCAACTGATTTCTGATCATAGGTTAGAACTTCAAATACACTTGATCTCCCACTTGAAACACCAGCATAATGTTTCATTCTATTTTTGGCCTTAGACAGCTGCTGCTGAAGCATGTCAGAAAATAATTGATGATCTTGCAACAAAGTGGATGCCTCGTCATCACCAGCACCTCCAGTAACCAGCTCAGAAGGAAGGAAATGGCATACAGGATCAGTACCGTACAGAGCCTTGTGAGGAGTACAGAACAATGAAGTATGATAGCAGGTGTTATACCAGAACTGAACCAATGATAACCAAGAACACCACTGAGAAGGAGAAGCTAATGTCGCATAGCAGATTCGCAACTTCAAGGTAGCCTGAACCCCAGAACATCCCACAAAAGCAGAAGAATGATAAGCTGTGATTTGACTCAGTCTGCAATGCAGAATTTTCAACAACGCATACTTTGACCTTATGTTTGATGAGCCCATCCACCAAAGTAAACCCTTGAGAATTAGTGCCTGATGCTGCCAATTCGGTGAGAAGCTTCTGAGCAGAAGGATCAACAACCCTCCTACTGCTCCTTCCTGACCCCCCCCCCCCCCCTCTCCCTTTTTTTCTCTTTTCCCTTAATCCTCTGCCTCTTCCCTGTTCGCTTGTTCATTGTTCTCACGTCGAATGTCTTCAAGCTGGCCAAACTTTACTAGGGAAGTTGGTGCAGGTGTTCGTATGGCGTTCTTTACAGTGATGCCAAATGAGACTAGATGAGAAACCAAGTGATCACATTCTTGTTTCTGCATCTGCAAAATGAGCGATAGAAAAACACCTATAATTTCAATACACCATCCATGATGCATGCATGCCGTTCGAATGATGAGAGAAAACGGAGATCTTACTTGATCTCCCCCTTGCACATATCGAACAAAAAAATCTGGTGCTGTTGGGGGTCCTCCAAGCCCACCTCCTAAGAGACCCCGTGCTCGCTTTGAACACATCTCTGCAGTTGCAGCAGAAGTACGCTTGTGTCCACGTCCATGTAATGCTGGCTCCTGAGGTAATCTTATGTTTGCATCACCCACCCCGGGGTCAACTGGAGACCATTTCATCTCTCTCGGAGGGGGTGCGAGACTCTCATGCTCAAACAATCCTCCATTCCAAGCATCAACATGAAGGTAATAAAATACCTGAATCAGATCATCCAATGTAACCAATACATCAATGCCACAGTCATGTGGATGGTGTGTTAAATTCGTCAAGGACCCCATCACTTGAGCACTAATTGAACTCCAGTTCTTGATAAAACTATTGACATAGTCTCTACCCAACTCCGGTGTGATCACCTCAAGGATTGCATGGCAATGACGCCTATGGATTTCACGAGATTTGGATTCCATAATCAGCACAACAAAAAGACCAATCCACACTGGCAAGTCCTTTGGGTCCTGACACTTGCTTGGAACAAATGTACACAATCCGTGGAAGCATTTTCTAATGAATTGCAAATTAACAGTAGTGTTTCCTGTCCCATTGGGCGATATGGTATGGTGATTTCCTTTGAATCTGAGAAGGTGGCTGTGGACACTATCCATATAAAGGCCCATCAAATCTTCAAATTCCATTTGGAAAAATCCATTTGTAGTACAAAAACCAATTAGCCATGCCATCCTGGCTAATACTACGAGTATGACATAGCGACCTTCATGTTGCAGGACATAGTAAAATGTCCCATCCAAAGGGGTAGTGTATATAACTTGGTCCCCAAAACGTATGCGGAAGGGTGAATTCATGAGAAGCCAATATTGAAAATGAGCCTGGCATCTGTTGAAATTTTCCAAGAACTCTTCCTCAGTACCTTCAAGACGTAATGTCACTGTGTTCTGTGAGCAAAAAGAAGAAAGTTTAAATTAATGCCATAGAAACTATAAAGAGAAACATAAATTAGTGAATAAATCCAAAATATAGGAAAACCTCATATTAATGAGACAAAAGAAAAAAACTGTCCAATCTAATTTCATTCTAGAGGTATAACAGACCAAAGAGGCAAAGAACACTTGGGACTACATGATCCAAAGAACTCTCCTATACAGTAAATCATAAAAAACCAATTCTTGATAAAACTTACTCAAATGAACATACTAATTGAAAGTTTAGAGGCTCCCAAAAGCTCACACTGCCGGACCACAAACACTGGCAACAGCGGCATCCTATCTTACCCCCAGTGGCAGACATCGCACACCCCATGACCGCTCCTAGTACCAATACTGCACACTGCCTACAAGGGGTCGATGAGACAAGTCCCCTTCCCGTTGTTATGACCCAAGCTCGTGAGAGATCAAATCACATGAACTGGTGACAGTGTTATGGGTAGAATTTGGGAGAATTTGGGGGAGAAAACAAAGTAGGTCAAGGGGAACAGGGGAACACAGGAGAGAAGAGAACACAGGAATTGTACTCCTGAACTCCTCACTGGAATCAAAAACTTTCACATCACCATAATATCCTTGTAATTATCAAAGCCAAGAGTATGCAATTATTCAAGCCATTAAATCTCATCAAGTGTTCCTCTGCATCTAGTTTATGTGCATTGCCATCCACAAGCACACACGATATTTCTTAAAACACTTGATCTGCTGCCTCTGCAAACAATGAAACTCCACCGACATGAGTGAGCACGATGTCCTTTCTCCTCAGCATGGAGGATGCAACTGATCTTCAACTACACTTATTGGACTTGAGGTATAGCTAATAAGTGAAGTGTCTGTAGGACTGTAGCTGCAGAGCCTGTCGAGGTGGCAAGTCCAATGTCCAGGATTCAACATCAAACACATGGGGGAATCGCTAGCTTCTGGTTGCTGGAGCACGGGCTGCACATACTTGACATCTAACAAGCAACACCATCTAACCCTGGAGTTCATGTTGAGCTCATGCTGCGTCTTGGCATGGCGTACTTGAGTGAGACGACAGCCTCCACATAAGTAACCGCCTCAATTGCACTCATCACCCGCTCTGACAATACGGAACAAATACTTCGTGAAGCACCTCTGTGGTCACTGGACAGAGCACATGGCTCACGGTGACGCGAACAACACTTGCTGTGGTTAGCTCCTTGTTTCTTGGCATTTCATCAAACATCTTCTGGGCATCAACACTGGAGGTCACCTCTGGATTTGAAACTTGAACACGAGGAATCCGCGCGAGGTAGAAGGCCCCGCGAGAAAGGTGGTAGATCACCCAGAGCCATGGTCCCAAGCTTGGCCCCCAAACTCATCAAGCTTCGCCCAGAATCAAAATGCCACCACACATGGCTTCCTTCCTCTGTTCCCCTGCTGCTCCAGTGAGTCCAATGGCGATGGTCTCCGTCAACCGCCGCCTTCCCGGCTTCCCGCTGGTTGCGCTCGCGCCGCCGCCGCCGCCCTCAGCGCCACCGTGTGGTGCTCTCTCTCGCTCGCCGCCCGCGCGCCACTGCCATGCCCCTGCGGCCATGCGCAACCTTAGATTCCTCGTCAGCTGGGCTGGGCTGGGCCGGGAGCTATCGGCTGACGCCCAAGAACAAATAACCCACGCCTTCCCGCCCTTGATGCCGCCTCGCCCGCCATTGGTGCTCCTCCCCGGCTGCGCGCCGCGGCGCCGGTGGCGGCCGCCGGCGACCAAACGACGACGGGCAGCGGCGGTCGATCCCAATGCACGCAAAGATGATCGGGGAATTCCCGCAACGGCGCGACATTTGCTTATACCGCTTCCGATCCATCTCAACAACAACAAATCGATCATGAAAGAAACCCTAGCAAAACCCCCCATCCGACAAGGCAAAGGAAGAAGAAGAAGAAGAAGAAGAAGAGCAAATCCAACAAGGCAAGAACAAGAAAAAATCCAAGAAGAACAAATCTCTTCTCAGAAAAAAAGAAAAAAAAAACAAGAAGAAGAACGAATCCAAGAAGGCAAGAAGAAGGGAAGAACCGATCGATCGAGCAAGCGATCGATACTCACCCGGGGGCGTGGGGGAGGATGAACCGCCGCTAGATTCTTCTTCTTCTTCTCCCTCTTCGGCGCCATTGCCGGCCAAGAAGCTTTGGCTCTCTCCTCTGCCTCCGGCGGCCGGCGGGTTAGTTAGGTGGATTAATTAATTATTTGCCACTTTTACGGATGGTGATAAATGATTTGCCATTGGACCCACATGTCATAGACACATGAGGGCCCACATGTCATAGACAGCGAGTGGCAAATAATTAATTGCCACATCTTAAAAGTGGCCTAGAGTTAAATGTCCCTTATTAGGTGACCGTTATGCTGAGCTGGCAGAAATGCTGACTCAAATATCTAATTTCTTGTTTTTTTCCCTAAGTGCAAATAATATGATTGGTTTCCAACCTGCCAACACATATTAATATGGAGTATTTTGTTACCCTTGTGGAAAATAGAGACGTGTAAAAAAAATAGCTCGTACCAAGCACAGGCAATTATCAATTTAATTCATTGACGCATCATGTTTTACTTTTTTTTTCGGCTGAATTTTTACTCCTATTTGGTTTGCAAATGATTGTGGCTGCCCCTCAATTTCATATTGATAAAAAGGCAGACACTCTAAATATGCAAATTAAATGGGCTGAGAAATGGAGTAAATAAATTAGATGATGAGCTTGCCGCAATGCTGCAGTATATCTGTATATACACAGAATATACAGTGCTCTGCTATGTGAACCCGCCACCTGAACTCCTGAAGTACTGAGCATTTTTTATCAAAACTCCAATCAATTTCTTTTACAAAAAGAAAAGGTTATATCTCCCAACTTTCCGAATTCCTGGTGCTATGAGGTTCAAAATCATTAGCTCAACAACACATATCGTCAGGTGAATTCCATTGCCCATTGTTTATGAACAACAAACAGCAGCAAAAACACACCATGGTTTGGCTTTTGGAACCACTAAGTGCGTAACATTGACTAAAGCATTAATTTTGGCTGGAAATAACAAGCGGCTGCATTATGTTGCTCCTAGTTTCACCATTGCTGTGGTTGAGATCTCCTGGCCTTCAAGAGTCGAACCAATTGACCAGTGGATCTCCCTGTGATCAAGGAAACAATGTTCAAATGCCATGTCATAAACGGACAAAGCTGAAATTTCAGAGTTTTCCACAGATTCTCTGGGGACAACACCAGCTTTGCCAGACAGGGAACAGGGCCAAAACACCGGCCACCAACCAACTTAACTGCTGCAACTCTAACAGGGATCTCAGGAAGAGAAACAAAAACAAAACGAGTTTAGGTTCTGGCAAAGAACAGCAAGGCTCCAAAACCCTGCTCAGCCTAAACCAGGGTAACTTCTAGGATCTTCACCGCCATCGACTCCGCTTGAGCTTCTTCTCCTTTGCGCATCGACCTACTCCACTGCCAAAGGAAGAAAATCACACGAAAAACAAGGGTTAGAGGTGTGGACAAGATTTTGTTCGCTGCACCCAGCAGCTGAGCAGCATAAGACCCTTTTCATTCATTTTCTGGCCAGGCATCTTCTATCTCAGAACAAAGAATGCATCTCTCAGATCCTTCCCAATTCTTCTTAACCAGATAGGAGGTGGATTGAATCTTATCTTTCCAAGCAAGCCATACAAAGTGCTTTACCTTCTGGGGCATTGGCTCTTGCCAAATATCTAGTCCTCTCATATCTTTCACCCCATGAAAGTTTAGCATTTTGTAGCAAGACTTTGTAGAAAAGCATTTGTTCTTCTCAAAAGGCCAAAGCATCATGTCTTCCTCATCAGTAAGAGATTTCAGCCATTCGTTGCCCAAGGTTTTCCCACTCCACCTCCACCGGGCCAAAAGACCTTCTGAAAGAAATCCCCTCAGGCCAAGAGGCCAGAGCATCAGGCACCAGAATCTCTTGTTGGTTACAGATTTGTTTTCAAAGGACAGGACCCAGTCCAAACATCTGACCAGAAAGAGATATGAGTTCCTTATCCCAATTTCCATTCAGAGTTGTTTTGGACCCAGAATTTAATTGAGTGCAAGCTTCTACAAAATTGTGACCCTCCCTCCTTTTCAGATTGGAAAAACCCCTTGATCTGTAGATATTTTCTTCTTAACAGCTCTATACAGGGGCTCATGTCCCCTGATTCCAGCTTCCAAATCCATTTGGATAACAGAGCGTGTTATACTTCATTGTTTCTGTGAACCCCATGCCCCCAAACTCTTTATGACTGCATAAATGGTCCCATTTCATCATGTATTTTTTTTCTTGGAGCCATTACCTGCCCATTAAAACCTGCTCCTAACTGTGTTGATCTTGCGATGAATGCATTCTGGCAAAAGATAGAAACCCATTGTATAGGAGGGAATGGATGATAGGCAAGAATTGATAAGGATATCTCTCCCCCCAGATGAGAAATTTGACTTCCATGTACCCAACCTCTTTTCTAACTTTTTTTTGACGAGAACATCTTTTCTAACTTATGTGGTAGGAATTTTAACTCAGAGATCCCTACCTTTTGTGGACTGATGGGTAAAACTAGATACTTCATTGGGAAGAACCTGCAGGGCAGTTGAGCATGTTAGCAACTCTGTTCAACTCATTTTACTCCAACCCCACAGCAAACACCTTGCCTTTATCATAGTTAATCTTTAGACCAGACATGTCCTCAAAGCAGTAAAGAAGGAACTTGGTCACAGCAAGGTATGGGATAAAAATCACTGTATCATCTGCATTTGTAGGTGAGTCAATCCCCCAGGGAAGAGGTGTGGGACCAGCCCTGTTAGGATATTGGCGCTTTTGGCTGCATCAAATAGCTGGATCAACGCATCACTCACATAATTGAAGAGCAGCGGAGAGATAGGATCCTCCTGCCTGAGGCCTCTGTAAGTGCTGAAAAAAATTAGATCTCTACCCATTTATGTTGATACAGACTTTTCCACCTTCTATACAGCTTTTCACCCAGTGAATCCATTTTTCATGAAAATGCTCTGTCCAACACCCCATAACGAATCCCCATCTCACTCTGTCAAGCCTTCTCAAAATCTAGTTTCAGAATCACTGTCAAACACCCCATAAACGAATCCCCATCTCACTCTGTCATAAGCCTTCTCAAAATCTAGTTTCAGAATCACGCCTCTTTGTTTATTTCTCCTTAGTTCATGCATCACCTCATGTAGAATAACACATCCTTCAAGTATGAACCTGCCTGGAATAAAAGCAGTTTGTGTTGAGGCAACGGTGGATGGAGCCACTACAGACAGTCTGTTTGTCAGAACTTTGCTGATACTTCAGGGAACCATTTAGCCCATAGACGGATCTGAATTGCTTGATTGAGGTAGGGGAGGGAATTTTAGGGATTAGGGTAATGGCACCAAAGTTCAACCTCCTTAAGTCTAACTCTTCATCATGAAGCAGTTGCAGCATCTTAAACAAACCCTGTCTCAGCTGTGGCCAGAATTGTCTATAGAATTGTGCAGGGAAGCCATATGGACCAGGAGCAAGGTTTAGTTTTGCTTCCTTGATTACCTTGTCAAGCTCAGTAATATCAAATTCTCTTATCAGATGAGCAGCATCCATCTCAGAAAGGTCTCTCTCTTCACCACAGAAGTCATAGAGCTTGCAATTCAAAACAGCTGTATGGGAAATACACTATGGTTACAGGAGGCTCAGTGCAGATTGGTTGTAAGAACATAGACATTTTGACTGAAGTTATCAGTAAAATGCACGTACTGTCAAAGCAATGTTAAGATGAATCACCAGTACTAATTTGTCGGAAATATATGTTTATACGGCCTTATCAGTTATCAACAAAGATAGTTGCTTACCAAAATCTCTTCATTGTTGAGGATTCCTTTTTATTATCAGGAATAGCGTAAAGCCTGTTACTGATAACTCAACATTTCCCTTTCCGTCCACAACAGGGACAACCTACATTAGCAGGAAAGTTGCATAATCATGTGATTATGTAAAGGATCATTCCCATGGTGATTAGGATAGGAGATTAATTATGTGGAGCCCAAATTAATCATATTCAGCTACAAAGAGATTCATCCCAAAATGAATCTTATAAATGCATGCCCAAAATAATGATTTTCTGTTAGTTTATCGGGATATGCATACGCACTGTTTTTTTACCACATGTCGCTCAAAAGATCTTCCCAGCTTTATAGAAAGACAACAGAACATGCATATACACTTATTTGTCTGTCATTTCATCTTACAAGGAAAAACACATTTCATATGCATAACCATGCTTCAGCAACAAAGTTTAAAATGAATTGTGTGCCATATAAACCACAAAACTATGATACTTTTATATATCATTAAGTCCTATGACTGTCTAACTTCCTATGAACTGTAAGGTGAATTAATAATAAGAAAAGGATCATTTCCACTCATACTCTTTGCAATTCCATCCAAAGTAGTCAACTCGTCAACTGGTGAACTGCCAAGTAGCAATTTGACATGAGATTGCCCAGCAATTGCAACGCAGCAGGCATCACGAACTAGTAGTCATAATTCCCTCCTTTGTAACATAAAATATGTTCCAAACAAAACTCTCCCTTTCAGACAAAACATCAAACAGTGCACGGGCACTGTAGAAGTTGTCACAATTTTCCATAAAATGCATAGAACGTTCCCCTCCCCAATCCCATCATTTCGTGTAGGACCAACCATGAATTTGTGATTAATTTATTTACTACTCACCTCCAGCAGAAATTGAGCCCTCCGGTAGTTCCCAAGACGCCCACATTTCATTCACCACCTGCAAATTATTACACCTAATTCTGCAACTCCAAAATAAAAAGAAAAGCCAAACAAGCAGAAACTGTGGCATATTTCACACCAATCTGCCAGAATTCATTACACTAAATGAACAGCCAAGTTGTATTAGCACCTACTAATATGGAATATTTCAGATGCTTCTTTACCAAACATATGTAGTCATCGACAGGTGAATTTTTGTTCTAGTTACTTGTTGAAGCAGAATTTGTTGTACAGGCTTGAGTGTATTAGGAAACACACCACTTGTGTGACATGCTAAATGTGTTGCATAGTTCAGCCACCAGGTATTTAGCCAGCCTCTTGTCAAATATTACTCTTTTAGGTCCATGTGTCAATAGAACATGAGCCAGCCAGTATTCGAGCACAAAGATAGAAAATACTACTCCCTCCGTATTTTAATGTATGATGCCGTTGACTTTTCGACAAACGTTTGACCATTCATTTTATTCAAATTTTTTGTGTAAATATAAAAATATTTATGTCATACTTAAAGAATATTTGATGACGAATCAAGTCATAATAAAATAAATGATAATTATATAAATTTTTTGAATAAGACGAATGGTCAAACGTTGGACAAAAAGTCAACGGCGTCATACATTAAAATATGGAGATAGTATTATCTAGTAGCAATATGGAGTAGGGTAGAGGCAGGAAAATATAAATTTGCATAAATATTCTTCCTAGCTGATTGAGTGAAGTTAGAACAAGAAATCCAAAGCAAAGAGAAGAACAAAAAAGGTAGGTATATCACATCATCAACTTACTGGTGCCCTGGAAGGAGTCGTAATCACTGCTAAAAGTGCTTGTTGTGGTTGATATCCCAATCTCCGTGCAAATTCAACAGCCACAAAATCAATTGAAAGAAAAAAAAATATTTTTTGCTCATATGGCAAGGTTTGCCCAACAATTGACATACACATGAAGCCTTGGTTGGTTCTGGTTCATATGGCAATATATATGGCACAAATCCTAATAAAAAACTTGCATTGCTCTTAGCTATTTACAGGTAGGTGATTTTTTGCCTGAAAATAAATAGAATGTAACAAAGTAGAAGGCTCAAAAGCCTTCTTGTAGCGAAGTGGGTAAGATTGACCAAAAGATCTCCACACCTATAGTGGCTAAATCCGCAAACTTGGCGCAATGAGACATACTTCCATGTGGTACAACCCTGGACTCAAATCTCCGACTGATTGAGCCATGCTGATGTGTTAGCTTGAACTCTGTAATCATCAAAGTGTTCAGTGTTGCAACAACCACAAACCTATTTTGGTCACGTAGCTTATCAATGGGACCTTGAAAGAGCTTAATTTGTGGGGTCATATGACTAACACGACAAGTTATAGTCAAGTTTAGGCTGCCACAGCCATCCTTTAGTTCATATATTCGAACTTGCAACGTTGCCTCAATTGCAAGGATGAAGTGTGCTAGCGTTATGTCCACCGCCATGCCGCAATCCCCATGGATGCGATAAATGTACGGTATGAAATTCGTTATCTCGCTGAAGGTGGCAGCCCCGTCGATGAGCACCAGATCATCTTGTTCATTCTCTCCCCTCTTGATCCTCAGGTCGTACTCGATCATCACGCGGGAGTTCATCGTGATGCCCCTCTTAGGGCCAGTCATCTGTATAAACGGATAGGAGACGTCGCGGATGGTGAACGGATCGTCCCTGGTGCGGTTGAAGACGTAGTTTCGCAGCGGGTCCAAAAGATCCCGCGCAGCCATGAACCCATACAGCTGAATAGCACCGGCACCAGCAGCTCCGGTGGCGAAATTTGAGATTTCGGCTAGCTCGAGGGAGAAGATCTGCATCATGGAGCAACCAATGTGCCACTGGCAATCGGTGACGCATGGCCTGCAGTCCTGCTCTGAATATGATGGTGTCATCGGTTCCAGGCGAGCTGATGATGGAATGAATCGATTAAGTAACCAGTGATTAGTATATACTCCTCCCTCCGTTTCAGTTTCATCATATTATAAATCGCTTTGACTTTTTTTCTACTCAATTTTTTTAAATTTGACCAAGTTTATGAAAGAATATAACGATATTTCCAACACAAAACAAACATATTAACAAAAAATATTCAATGCAACATTTTACGATATTAATTTGGTGTTTTGGATGTTTGGTAAACTTTTCTATAAACTTGTTAAAACGCAAAGAAGCCTGACTAAAGAAAAAGTCAAATGACTTGTAATATAAAATGGAGAACAGATTTATCAATCAAAAGGTGGAGAACAGATAACTGTTAAATTGATGAAAACTTTGAGAGCAGATGAGGAGTAGTGGGATTAATTGGGGGGAATTGGAGATGCTTGATGCTTTGCTTACTTTCGCTGGTATCGTCGAGGTGGTAGAGGCCGTGCCAGTAGTGCGCATCCGTCCTGTAGATGGACCCGTCGCGATGCTTGCTGCCCGGGATCACAAATGCCGGGATGATGCCGTCCTCATGGCACGCCGCCGGCAGACACGACCGACCCTTCGCCGGCGGCGCCGGCGGACGCGCCTCCTCCTCCGGCTGCAAATCCTCCTCCTCCTCCTCTAAATCCTTAGCCGCCTTCCTCTTCCTGGAGCTAGGGAGACTGGCAACCGCCGTCCCCTCGTGATCGTCGGAGGCTGGCCGCCGGCAATCGCTGCCGCCGCCTTCCATCGGATTCGAATCGAATAGGTTTAACTGCATCGAGTCGCCTCTTCTTTGTTTCTTTTCCTTTTTATTAATTTTCGTGCTGAATCGACATTTGATCGGAATCGGCCAGTTTCAAGTTCAGACTTCGGTTGGTGTGTAGTCTGGCTGTGTGGGCTTGGGCTGTTAGAAAGGCCTGATGGGCCAGCACTTTATTAGAAGAGGAATAAGTCTACTTTACGTCCCTCCGCTCATGCCACAACCGCAAAATCAGGTATTACTTATCTCCAACTCACAAAGCCGTCGCAAATCACTCCTCAAACAGTTTGGGAGATAGTTTCGTCCGATGGGCATCTTTCACCGGTTCACCCCGTTGACTAGCTGAGCCAGCACACGGGCCCCACATGTTAGTGTCTTGTAGAGAAGGTGTGGCTGGTGAAAACTCACCGAGGGAGGAGGCAGCACCCACCGCCCATGCCCAACGCCCTCATCTCACCTCCTCCTCCACCCACCCATCACCACCGCCGACGCCACATCAGCCCAGCCGCCACTGACCCCTGCGTAGACCTGGCCAAATGGGCCGTGCCAAGCCGGGCCGGCCCGAGCACGGCAGTACTGTAGCCGGCCCAGACCCGGCACGGCACGCCAGCCTGTGGGCCGTGCCGGCACGGCCCGTTATCCCGTGCCGTGTTTGGGCCGATGCCTCAGCCCGTGGGCTGGCACGGCACGGCACGTTTACTGTAGCGTGCCGGCATGGCACGGCCCACCGGCCCATTTATTTTTCCTACGATTTTCTAATTTTTCCCATATATTTCTCATATTTTTTATTTTTTTTCCACATTTTATCCTATTTGTACCATATATTTTATGATATATTTCCTAAATTTTCCTCACATTTATCCTATATTTATCATTTTTTCCTTTATATTATGTTTTTTCTGCCTTTTTTCTTTTTTTCCCCTCAAATTTCAATTTTTATGGGCCACATGTACTAGTGGGCCGGCTACAAGCCCACGTGCCACTACAGTAGCCGTGCCGGCCCGGCACGGCCCAGCACCTTCTTGGGCCGTGCTTGGGCCGTGGCCTTGGCACGTGGGCCGGCACGGCACGGCCCGCTACAGGAGTCGTGCCTAACGGGCCGTGCCCTAGTGGGCCGTGCCGTCGGCGTGCCGTGCCGTGCTGGGCCGGGCCGCCCGTTTGGCCTGCTATACCCCTGCGGCGGCAGGGAGAGAGGAGAGGAGGCAGTGGCGAGAGTGGAGGCAAGAGGGAGTAATAAGTTCACTTTATGTCCCTTATCATTCCGTCAAATTTAATTTGCATCCCTCAACCGCAATACAACAAATCTTAACCTCCAACTTGCAAAAACAGTGCAAAAGAGATCCTAATACACTAGGGAGGCTAGTTTTGGTTAACGTGGTGCCTACGTGGCATGTGGCCCACATGGCATTGACATCCATGGACAAAAAAAAAACGGGCCACACTTCATGGACAAGCTGTCCCAGCAAAAAAAAAACACATGATCTAGCACAAACTGCTTGAGCTGCGAGACATGAAAAACATGGTGAATCAATGAATCTTTAGGAAACCTGCAGTTTGTATGCCACTTCCCCAATGCGAACCAAGATGGGGAAGGATCAAACTACTTAACAGCTAACTTGGGTTAAGCCGAGAAGCAACTGATTTCTGATCATAGGATTGAAGCTTCGAATACACTTGATCTCCCACTCAAAACACCAAGGAGCATTTCTCATCAACATACTACTTCATTCTACTTGGGCCTTAGACAACTGCTGCTGAAGCATGTCACAAAACAATTGATGATCTTGCAACAAAGTGGATGCCTCATAATCACCAACACCTCCAGTAACCAGCTCAGCAGGAAGAAAATGATACACAGGATCAGTACCATACAGAACCTTGTGAGTACAGCCCAATGAAGTGTGATATTCACCAGAGCTATTTTGTCATAAATATAAAAAGTCGTGGAATGTCATAGATATGTTTACAAGGCTTTATCAGTGATCAACAAAGACAGTTGCTTACCAGGAATCCTAGAGCCCACTGATAACTCGAATAGTATTTCCATCCACAACAGGGACATCCCACATTAGCAAGAAAGTTGCACAATCATGTGAGTATATGTAAAGGATACCCATAGTGATCTGAATAGGATATAAATTATGTAGAGCCCAACCTCATTGAAGGCTATCGAGGCAATGGCTCCCTCTGTGTAATCTCCAATGCCACAGACCTCACCAATTTGTGCAACCAATAGTCATAATTCCCTCATCTGTAACACAAAACAGATTCTAAATATAACTCTCCCTTTGAGACAAAACATCGAACAGTGCACAGGAACTGCAAAAGTTGAAAAATTCTTACAAAGAATGCAACAAACATTCCCCTTGCAGATCCACGTCATCTCGCACAGGATCAGCCATGAATTCATGATCAATCTATTTACTAATCATCACCAGCAGAAATCAAGCCCTCCGGTAGTACCCAAGCCCTGCCCACATCTCATTCACCTCCTGCAACTATTCTACTCTAATTCTTCTGCTTTGGAGCAAAGAAAAAAGTAACTGCTGCTTATACCACTGTAGTTCTGCCAGAATTTATTATGCTAAATGAACAGCCAAGTCAAATTGGCACCAACCAACATGGAATATTTCACATGCTTCTTGACTGAATATTCAAAGTAGAATTTGTGGTTCTTACCAAGAGGGCACCTAGTCATCTGGTAGTGTATTTTTGTCATAGAAAACTGTTCAACCTGAATTTTTGTTGTACTGGCTTGAGCGTAATTAGTAAAAACAGCACTTGTTTGACATGCTACATATGTTGCACATTTCAGCCACCAGGTTAATATTAGTCAATCTTGTCAAATATTTGTTTTAGGTCTATGTGTCAATAGAACATGATCCAACCAATATTTGAGCACAAAGATAGAAAATACTATTCATCTAATAACAATGTTGATTATATAAATTTGCATAAATATTCTAACAAGCTGATTGAGTGAAGTTGAAACAAGACATCCAAAGCAAAGAAAAGAACAAAAGAGAAAAGTAAGATAGTCAACTTACTGGTGCACTCTAAGGAGTTTGTAGTCACTGCAAAAGCTATTCTCCCAGCTGAAACATAAGAAAAGCATCTCAACCTGGTCAACCTCCTCATCATCTCCTCCACAGTCCCCCACACTAACCCCCTCTCTCACTCCCTTGTACAAACAAGGTGACAAATAAAAAGTGCCGGTTGATATCAATCACCAATCTCCATGTAAATTCAACAGCCAGAATATCAATTGAAAGCAAAGCAATATTTACACAAGTGTCATTCAACAACCCCCCTCCCACCTACACACCCCAAGACAAGAATCCCACACCCACATCACAGAAAAAGAACACACACAAAGATACATCAAAAGATTACCTACTCAATGATTAAGAAGCTCACTTTTGCAGTTTGTCTGAAGGTGTATGGTCATCAATTAAATACCCTGCTATGGTTGGGTCTACAAGATTTGCCCTGACAATTGACACAGACACATGAAGCCTTGGTTGGTTCATATGGAAATGATACATACATGGCACAAATCCTAAAAAAGAAACTTGCATTGCTCTAGCTATTTACAGGTAGGTGATTGTTTGCCAGAAAATAAATAGAATGTAACAAAGTAGAAGGCTCGAAAGCTTTCTTGTAGCTAAATGGGTAAAATTGACCAAAAGATCTCCACGCCTATAGTTGCTAAATCCGCTAACTTGGCATAGTGGAACTTACTTCCATGTGGCATAACCATGGACTCAAATCTCTGACTGATTGAGTCGTGCTGATGAACAAGCTTGAACTCTGTAATCATCAGAGTATTCAGCTTTGCAGCAACTACAAACCTATTTTGGTCACCTAGCTTATCAATTGGACCTTGAAAGAGCTTAATTTGTGGGGGCATATAACTAACGTGACAAGTTATAGTCAAGTTTAGGCTGCCACAGCCATCCTTTAGTTTATATACCCAAACTTGCGCCGTGGCCTCAATTGCACGGGAGAAGTGTGCTAGCCTTATGTCCACCGCCATGCCGCAATCACCATTGATGCGATAAATGTATGGTATGAAATTCGTTATCTCGCTGAAGGTGGCAGCCCCGTCGACAAGCAACAGATCATCTTGCTCACTCTCCCCCATCTTGATCCTCATGTCGTACTCGATCATCACGCGAGCGTTCATCGCGATGCCCCTCTTAGGGCCAGTCATCTGTATGAACGGATAGGAGACGTCGCCGATGGTGAACGGATTGTCCCTGGTGCGGTTGAAGACGTAGTTTCGCAATGGGTCCAAGAGATTCCGGACAGCCATGAACCCATACAGCTGAATAGCACCGGCACCAGGAGCTCTGGTGGCGAAATTAGAGATTTCAGCTAGCTTAAGGGAGAAGATCTGCATCATGGAGCCACCAATGTGCCACTGGCAATCGGCGACGCATGGCTTGCAGTCCTGCTCTGAATACGATGGCGTCATCGGTTCCAGGCGAGCTGATGATGGAATGGATCGATTAAGCAAACAGTGATTAGTATATACTACTTGACAAAAGATGAAAAATCTATCAATCGAAAGGTGGAGAAGTTGCACAAAACCACATGGATTTTGCCACATGGCACATAACCTAAGATATTATGGTCCTAAAGTTTTTTACAAAACCACACCGTTAAACAAATTGGTATAATCCTATATTAATTGAAAAAAGCTTTACTTAGAAGAATGTAGCATTGTGGAAAAAACTCATAAATCTGATATGTGATTGTAGAACTCAAAAGAATGATAAATCAAAGTCAAAATGATTGATAAAGTGGTTTTGTGAAACTTTATAGCCATAATAATACCCAGGGTTATGTGCCACGTGCTAAAACCTCTATGGTTTTGTATAATTTAGACCATATAATACCTGGCGTTAAGTGAAATTTACTCTTGTTAAATTGATGAAAACTTTGACAGTCGAAATGGGGGGTAAAACTAAGAGAAATAATATTAACTTGACAGCAGATGAGGAGTAGTGGGATTAATTGGGGGGAATCGGAGATGCTCGATGCTTTGCTTACTTTCGCTGGTGTCGTCGAGGTGGTAGAGGCCGTGCCAGTAGTGCGCATCCGTCCTGTAGATGGACCCGTCGCGATGCTTGCTGCCCGGGATCACAAATGCCGGGATGACGCCGTCCTCGTGGCACGCCGCCGGCAGACACAACGAACCCTTCGCCGGCGGCGGCGGCGGCGGCGACGGACGCGACTCCTCCTCCGGCTGCAAATCCTTCTCTAAATCCTCAGTCGTCTTTCCTCTTGCTGGAGCTAGGGCGACTAGCAACTGCCGTCCCCTCGTGCACGTCGGAGTCCGGCCGCCGGCAATCGCCGCCGCCGCCGCCTTCCATCGAATCGAATAGGTTTAGGGCTTTGCGGTTCAACTGCATCGAGTGCCCTTTTTTTTTTCCTTTTTTTTTATCAATTCTTGCTGAATCGACATGATCGGAGAGATTAGTGAAAAAAACTGTCGCCATCTTTATAGCAATTCCGGAAAAAAAAAAAGAGAAACAACAAAGCATGGGGCATGGGCCATGGCCTCTTCGTGGGCCGTTGGAAAGCCTGATGGGCAAACACTTTGTGAGTGAGCAAAGGTACATAACTACCGAATTTTTTTTTAATTTTTTTAATTAAAATATTTACAAAAGTAATTTTGTGTTTCAAAATTTTACAAAAGTAGTCGCCCGCCGCCCTCTGAGAGGGCGATTTTCGTGACGTGGCTAACCACCGTTAGCGCATGCCTAACGGCTGTCTATAGGAGGGCTGCAATTTTGCAGGCGGCCTCCTCGCCGCCTTTACGGCGGGCGGTTTACTACTGTGCGGGGGGCCGCCTGCAAAAGGGCGGCCTGGTTTTTTGCAGGCGGGCCCCTTGCCGTCCTCCCCAAGGGCGATTTATTACTGTGCGGGGGGCCGCCTGCAAAAGGGCGGCGAGGCGGCCTGGAATTTTGCAGGCGGCCCCCTTGCCGCCCTTAGGGAGGGCGATATTTACCCCTCCGAGTATAAAATCCCTTCCCCCTCTCTGAATTTTCATTATATTCACTCGAAATCCAGAAAAAGAGAAAGAGGGAGGGGTGAGGAGGAGGAGAAGGGAAGCGGCGAAGCCCTGCTGGTTTGCTGACTCCATCACAGGTAATACATTCATTTGAAATGTGTTTCCATTTTTTTTTTGTTGCATTTTAGTTTTTTACCATATACTTTAGTAGATCTGTAGCACACAACCTATTTTAGAATTTGAGACATAGGACATACAACTTATTTGTAGTATCTTTAACTTAGGGCGTAGTTTGTATTGATGAACGGGGGGTTAGATCTGGTTAATATGATATGAACTTAGTTAACATAGATATTTTTTCATCAGGCACAATGTCAAGTAAGGTCATGTTTCAGATAGTTCACGGTGAAGGCAACCTTAGATTTGGTCCTGATGGTGTTGATCTGTCAGATTTTGTAATGACATTGAAGGGCATCGATAGGCCTGCCGAGAGATCATTTCAGTCAATTTATAATTGGTTGATGCGAGGATTTAGAATAGACTCAGAAGTCCACACAATGTCAGTATCGGTTGTAGTGAGTCGTGCAACTGAAGGTTATTTTTGGGAACTCATGCCGATGCATAGCACTGTTGCTTGGAAACGGTATCTGGAGATGGCTTTTGAAAGGTCATGGCCCCTGGTTATTTTTGTGTCGGTGTATGAAAATGATAGAAATATTGCAATGGAAACCGAAGATGTCGAGGGTCCAAGTCATGTGGGGGATTTTGTTGAACCATCGGGGGAAGATGAGGGAAATGACACAGGGGTGGTGCAGGCCATGGGCGTGGCAGATGAGGGGGAGAGAATCAGTACAATCGTTGGTGAAATGGACAGGGAAGATTCGGATAACGAGCAAGCGGAGGGCGATGCATCATCCGACGAGGAAGGTGATGTAATGCCCACTGATTGGACAAACGAGGACTTCTCGGGACTTATTATCTCAGAGGGACATCATCTACCCTGGGAATACAAGGATAACGAGGTAATTGAGGGTGCTACGTATGCTCATAAGGAGGATATGAAGGAGGCAGTGAAGCATTGGGCGGTCTCATTGATAAGAGAGTTTAGGGTGGTCAAGTCAACCAATTATGTGTATGAAGTGAGGTGCGTGAAAGAACATTGTCCGTGGCGTGTTCATGCATATAAGGGTAAATGGAAAGATTATTGGAAAGTTAGCATTGTGACCGAGCACCAGTGCCACTTACAAGGGGTCGAGAAGTATCACCGCAACATCACATCAGCTTTTGTTGCAAGTGAGATGTACAGCAGTGTTGTCGGTAACTCTGGCTTTGAACCAAGGGCAATTATTAACCACATTGAAGACAAATTCAAGTACACCATAACCTATGCCAAGGCTTGGAGAGCAAAACAGAAGGTTTTAGAGATGAGGTATGGCACTTTTGAAGCATCATATGATAATTTGCAGCGTCTGTTGGCCACCATTGCCCAGAGGAATAGCAATACATACTATGACATGCATACATTTCCATCGACTGTTGATCCTAACAAGAGTGTGTTGCAAAGAGCCTTTTTCTCATTGGGTGCTTGCATGAAGGCTTTTGTGCACTGCCGGCCTGTGTTATGTATAGATGGAACATTTTTGACCGGTAAATATAGAGGTCAGATATTGACAGCGATTGGAGTTGATGGGAACAATCAGGTGTTACCTATGGCTTTTGCATTTGTAGAGAGTGAGAACACTAAAAGCTGGTATTGGTTCTTGGACAGAGTGCGGAGAAAAGTCGTGTGTATGAGGCCCAATGTTTGCCTTATACATGATTGTCATGCGGGCATGTTGCGGGCTATTGACTACTTGCAGAATGGTTGGGAGGAGAAGGGAATTCCAGCTAAGTGGCCCGATGTTCGGAGTCGGTGGTGCATGCGTCACATGGGTGCTAATTTTTACAAGCAATTCAAGAACAAGCATCTTATGGATCTTTTTAAGAGGCTCTGTTCACAGAATCAAGAGAAAAAATTTAATGAGTTGTGGAATAAGTTGGATGAGTTGACAAGCAAGCAAACTGACGAGCAATCTCGTCGACCACAAGCTGAAGGTGACGAGCCTCCAGTACCTCTTGGTGCACTACATGATGACCCACCCACAATGAGAAGGAGGTCAGGATCATCTATCCGAAAGTTCAGTCATTGGATTGAGAATGAACCAAAGGAGAAGTGGTCTCTATTGTTCGACACCAATAGTTCTCGATATGGCATAATGACAACTAATCTAGCCGAGGTTTACAACTGGGTAATGCGAGGAGTGCAAGGACTACCGTTGGTTGGTATAGTCGAATTTATCCTTCACGGCACACAGGCCTACTTCAGGGATCGATACAAGAAAATTGGTCCCTCAATGGTAGATAACAAGATAATATTTGGCAGCGTAGTGACTAAGTACATGGAAGATAAAATTGCAAAGGCACAGAGGCATAGAGTTGTGCCTCAAGGAACAAAAGTTCATCGGTATGAAATAATGTGTGTTGATAGGAGCAGGCATGGAATCATGCGTAAGCATGTTGTGCACGAATGTGTATTGAAGGCTGATGGGGGATGCAGTTGCACCTGTATGAAGCCTAAGCTTCGACATCTGCCTTGCTCTCACGTACTTGCAGCAGCAGGTGATTGCGGCATACGTCCCGATGTGTACGTGTCACCTTATTTCAGGAAGGAAGCAATCTTTCATACTTGGAGTGAGGAGATATATGGGTTCGGGATCTCAGGATCTTACACAACTCAGAGGTCCCAAGTTTTTTTCATTCCTGATCCATCGAAGTTAAGGGTGAAAAAGGGGCGGCGTCAGACTAGACGCATCAAAAATGACATGGACGAGTTGGAAGCTGGTGGGAGGACTCTACGCTGCAGCAAGTGTGACCAACGCGGCCATACTTACAAGAAATGCCCGAAGACTGCACAGGGTCCAAGCGTCGAGGATGTTGGTCCATCTGGAGAAGCAAGTGATGGAAGAAGACCAGCTGGGGAAGGAACAACAACCAGACGAGCACGTCCCAGGCGTCCTCGTGCGGCAGGCGATGCGATGGTCTAATATTGTTAGGCCATGAACTCGAGCACTATTGTATCCTAATTAGTACTGAGACTAAGTATTTCAGTCATGTAATGTGATGAAATTAGTAGTCATGTATTGCGAACTATTCAGTATTGTATCCTAATAAGTACTGAGACTAAGTATTTATATCATGTAATGTGATGAAATTAGTAGTCATGTATTGCGAATTATTGAGTATTGTATCCTAATGTTCTCGTACCAAGTACTCATATGTTGTAATTTCAATGAATTTTGTTGTAATCGTTAAACAATATGTTGTTGTGTTGTGACCAATGTGAAATAGCATTGTACTGTTGTTATAATCTCTGTAGCATGCGACATCGAAGTTTATACTATCATTAATTACTCATATGTTTAAGTAATTGCACATTGAATTGTTGTTATTTATATTTATTATGGTTCTGATAATTATTTTTGATGCAGCTATGGCGGACGACACACCTGAGCTCTTGAGTCGTGGCATTGACAGGAGCCACCGCTCGTACCTCTCTGCGGTACAGGGTGCGCAGCTCGGCACCTTCCGTCCACGTCCTTCACACCAGCTGTTGCGTGTCGACCCGCGGCACGTTCCGTGGTACGCCTATTTTCAATTTTTTTTAAGCACATTTGAGTCGACTTTCAATTTGATGTACTAATTTTTGACTTTCCATTATGCAGGTTGCGTGTGGCAGGCCTCCTACCGCTTTGTAGGCTTGTTGAGGCAGGGGCAGACGAGAGAGACCCTGCGAGGCGGTGGGATGCAGACCGGTCACTCCTTGCCACTCTGGCAGATCGCTGGAGGCCTGAGACGCACACGTTCCATCTTCCCTGTGGAGAGATGGCTCCGACACTACAGGACGTGTCGTACCTACTCGGACTACCACTGGCAGGAGCCGCAGTTGGTCCAGTAGACGGTGGTGCTGGCTGGCAGGAGGATATCACTGAGCGCTTTTTGCCCGTGATGCGCCGTCCAGATCTCCCACCACCCACTGCACTACACGCGTTCGTTCCACACTCAGAGGACACCTACAGGGACTACCTACGGTGGTACTTACCTCGCACTCGTGGCCGTGTGACCTTCACTCCAGCCGCACCACAGCCACGACTTGCCACTGTCAGGGATGAGTACCCCACGCACCGTGACCGAGACTACTTCATGGGGGTATGTCAAACTTCTACTCACTTCTGGCAATTGTTTCTACTCAGGTCCTTCAATTATTTTCCTACTGACATGCTATCTTATGTCTTGAATAGGCCGACGCGGCACGAGCTGTGAACGCCGATATTACCTCGATAACAGTGAGGTTGGACGCCGGGCTACACTTGAGTGATGCTGAGCAGAGGATTACCTTCGACCGGATGCAGGAGAAGATACGCGCTGTCATCCGCGTCTTCTCTTGTCGCAGCGCCATGGACGCGGTACCTCCACCTGGTCCAGTACCACCACGTCCACGCGCCCCTAGTACCGGAGTTGTGCGACCTACAACTGGTTCTTCGCACGGTACTGCTCTGCCCAGAGGTTAGTTCAAGTATATATGATTTATTCTCGGTAACATGACTACGTCCTAACTAAATACGTTACGCGCAGGTCCCCGTCTGCCTTCCGGCGTCTTTGTCGGAGGCAGCAGTTTGTCACAGAGATTGCCGATCCCTCGTCCTGACACGCAGCCGCGAGGGATCTTTGCTAGTGGAGCCTCTTCCTCACACGCCGGTGGCACAGGTCCTACTGCCCGGTTCTACGACGACGACTTTCACGGGGCGCCAGACCACGAGATACTTGGGTCCTCACAGCTTGGCGGAGCTCTGGAGGCGCACACCCAGGAGCAGCCACTGGTCACACCAGTGCAGGAGGGTCGAGCAGGCCGTGCCGTACCACCGGACCGTCTGACGTATTCCCAGGGACACGTTAGGGCGCAGGGCAGGAGGGACCGGGGTAAGAGTCCTCGGCAGTAGTGGTCCACCTATTGAGTGGTTGTGTGCACTTTTCTTTTGGCTTACTTTTGCTGTGTAGACCAGTATTACTTTTGCTGTTAGTACTAAGGTACCATTGCCTTGACGCTCTGATATTTTGTTCCTTCCACATGTCCACTGCTACAACTATTCCATGCATACGAAGCCTAACTTTCGGCGCGTGATGGTCCAGTCCATTATAGACAAAGCGTTTCGTCGAGTTGTCAGGATCAACTTTGCACCATAGATTCCGCACGTGAATTAATTACTGCCCACATGTGCTCGTGTCATCAATACACTGCATATTAAAACTACTTACGCATACGACAACAAACTTTCGGCGCGTGAAGATTGGCTCATTTAGGTAGCGCAGCAGACCACAGTACACATATACCTTGGTAGTTCGAGTTGTCACTATCATCTTTCGGCCCTGTTCTCGGAGATAAAGTGAATGATGCTCACGCGTGCGCGTGTTGTCACATCAAGTGCGCCAGATGAACAAAATTAAGTCTAGTTATAGCACTAGTTGCGGCCCTATATAATAGACAAGCCGAATACAAGCTCTTCATATCATCTTTCATCTTCCCACACATCTAGAGAGAATGGAAGCTCCATTTCTTGAGCGTCTCAACTGGCGAAGCGATCCTTTCGCCGGTAGGTTTCCACCATGGTGTGACCGGCCGTTATGCACTTGTGGGGATCGATGCATACTTAAGTCAAGCCTCATGGTAGAAACTCGGGGCAGGAGATTCTTCCAATGTGCAAACCTTGATCAGGTATCATTCATTCGTTACAAGTTCAATTAACTATACTGAACACATCAAAAGCTAACAGATTTCTACTCCATCATAACATCTTACGCAGACATACCGTAAATTGTGCAACTACATTGAGTGGGTAGATACAGAGAACCCACAAAACGACGGAACACGTCCATATGCACGTAGTGAATCAAGATCGGACTACCTCAGGCGGAAGGATGAGCATGAACGTCGGATTGCTGCAGAAGCTTTAGAATGGCAGGTAAACCCCCTAGGACTCCCCACATGGCGGGAACATCCAGAGTGTCGTTGTGGTGACCGTTGTCAGGTGATAAGGTCCGTAAGACAACGAACTCGAGGACAAAGATGCTTCGTGTGTCCTAACATTGACGACGATGATTTCGTCGTAAGTATCTTTTTTTTTGGGTACCACTAATCACTACTTTCATGCACTTACCTCTATTTACACAAATTTTCAAATAGGAGGAGGTTAGGAAATGTCAATTCATACAATGGATCGATACGGTCAGAGTTACTTCCATTGGTCAAACGATAACGCAACCTGAGACGACCACGCAATTCATTCAGGCATGGATGGAGTACGAACGTCAGGTACAAATTGCAAGCTTAGACTGGAGGAACAATCTATTAGGTTTACCTAAATGGTCGGAGCATCCAAAGTGTGGTTGTAGAGATCGCTGCCAGGTGGCTACCTCGTTTGCAGAACAAACAATTGCCAGGTGGCTACATTGTCTGCCCCAATGTAGACGACAATTTCGTTGTATGTATAACAAATTCCAAATTTAAGTAGAATCTGCTTATTATTACTATCCTATCTGAACTATGTTTGTTTCTCAGGGCAATCCAAGGAGGTGCGCATTCACTTTATGGATCGACAATGTCAATCCTACATATGATGGCCAAAAGATAACTGAGTCTGAAACACAGGTAGAGTACCAGTGAGAGAAGGACCATCAAAATGCAATACATGTTGAACGACGCGGAAGGGGTCGGTAGATAAGCTCAGGCTCGATTTGTTAGGACCGACAAATTTGTATCTTTTATCCATGCTATCTTGTCATTATAATGTTTAATTACTATGTTGTGCTGTTGTATGCGTCATGAATTATAATTTAATGTGACTGTATCGTTCCGATTTCTACAGTTTCTTTGACGCCATGATACGTTGTATCCTTATAATTTATATGTACCTGCTTATATTTTTATAACTTCCACCTTCAATTGTGTACATGATTCAACATACACGAGAATTATGCGTAACTTACAATTTATAGGTAACAAACCCCCTCATAGCCCTCCAATTTATATGAAAAATTAAATTATTAAAATTTTGTCAAAATGCACGTACTTTGTTCGTTTCAAAACGATACTTTACCTAATTTTAAGTGCTAAAAATCAGGTTTATGTAAAATACCTATTTCTTAAAATTTTAATTGCAAAATAGTTAGATTTATGTAGTTTGAAACTATTCCTCCTTTGACTTTGAAACAATGATTTATGTAGTTTTTACAGTAACAATTAAATATTTCGGTGTAAAAACACCCCTTGTTGGGCTCCAAACCGCCGAAACAACGTACAATTCAATTCTAATAATGTTTTTTCTTGTTTCACAATTTTAGAAGTGATGATTTACTAAATTTTCTAAATGCACCGAACTAAACACCTGGGGGCTGCTCTTAAAGCTGGCGGCAACCAGCACAGTACCAAACCGCCCTCCGTAAGGGCGGCAATGGGGCCGCCTGCAAAAAAACAGGGTCCTCGCCGCCTTTTGCAGCGGCCCCCCGCACAGTACTAAACCGCCCTCCGTAAGGGCGGCAAGGGGGCCGCCTGCAAAAAAAACCAGGGTCCTCGCCGCCCTTTTGCAGGCGGCCCTCCGCACAGTACTAAACCGCCCTCCGTAAGGGCGGCAAGGGGGCCGCCTGCAAAAGGCAGGCCCCCTGTAGCCGGCCGTTAGACGTACGCTACCGGTGGTTAGCCACGTCACGAAAATCGCCCTCTGGGAGGGCGATTTTTAAACATCGCCCTCCCAGAGGGCGGCAGGCGACTAGTTTTGTAAAATTTTGAAACACAAAATTACTTTTGTAAATATTTTAATAAAAAAATTAAAAATAAAAAAAATTCCATAACTACCTTGCCTCGCATTGCTAGGACTGGAAATACTCTAGCATTAAATCTGGGAATAAGTTCATTCTAGGTTTCTCATGTTGAGTTTGAGTTTCATTCTTAAATCACAGTACCGGATATAGAGTATCCAAACTATTAAAATCAGATCAATTTACATCCCTAAAGCGGTTTTGATGGCGGTTTGATCCTACGTGGCATTTCAGTTACCAAAAATAAATTTAAAAGTGATGGATCCCAATTGTCAGTGGCACATCCCACTTCTCTCTTCCCCTTCCTCTCTGAAGCGGGGGCGAGCGACAATGGCATGGCCTCGCGACGCCCGTTCGGCAGCGGTGGCCGGAGAGCGGAGCTTGGAGCTTGGAGCCGAGAAGCTAACAGCAGCGGCTGGAGAGCGTGGGGGTGCCGGCGATGAGGATGGAGCTCCAATCCCCCAGCTACCTTGCGATGCATCTTGGGTGGAGGCAGTGGAGTACGTGGTGCCACCGGTGATGAGGACGATGCTCTAGTCCCCCCAGCGGTATGGTGGCAGAGATGGCCGCAATATTTAGTGGGGGGGGGGGGGGGATTTGGAGTTTCGGGTGGCGCACCGAGGGAGAAAAAGAAGCCTTAAGATCTTGCTTGTAAAAATCGATTTTTGGAGATGGCACCTTAAATGATTTGCCTACAAAATGTGAAGGTGCTACTAAATTTTGAAATTTGGAGAGCCCTGTGACTAAATCCTTATCTCCTCTTCTCCCTCAGCCCCCTCTCTCCCAGGTTCTCCATCCCATTTCCATCTCTATCCTAGGCCTTCCTGTGAAAATTGTCGATTTTTGTAAACCTTAAATGGTAGGCGGAGCATTTGACCGTTTGTAAAAATATGTTAAGGACTCCATCGTAATAAGCGAAACGGCATATTTAAAAATGGAAAATAATTTGTAAATAAAACTTTTATATACATGTTATTAGCGATCTAAAAGCAAAGGCTGAAAAATAAACTACGATGAAAAAGCACCAAAATCAACTCTAAATTTAAGGTTGAAAATTTAAATTTTAGCTTATAAGCATAAGCATAAGCTAAAAATGAGGCTGTAGCTGCTTGTAAAAACAGTTTTTTAGTGTAGGAAACTGCACGATAGCATCATGATGAAGACACGAGTCGCCCTCCTACTTAAGGAATACTGCTGAACTTGCTATAAATACCAGTCTTGGAGTACATATACTCAAGAAATCATATTGTATGAAGTCGAGCTAGCGGCTATAAATTGACCAGATAGTCTGTTGCTGTTGCCAATTTCCTCGGCCCAACTTGCTCAAATGAAAGTTAGCCATCTACTGTACTTTATCATACACTTTTTCCCGTTGTAATGGACGTGCATTTTTCTAGTATATATGTAAAAGCAGGGAAGCATATTTTGGGTAAAACAATGATCTTTATTGTATAGGCAGTACAATACAGACAACAGTCACCGATAAACGAATGTATGACATACAACGAGCAATTCATCCAAACAGGTAAATATATGCTGGTCAAAACTATCAACCAAGCAAGTGTGCCCATTATTTCCTACCAACTGGACCAGATTATTCTTTGAAGGGGGTGAGATCGATCTTGAGTGGCTTCTTTCCCTTGGTGACTCGCTTCAAAGAAAGAACAATAAAGACCTTTAGCCTAAATATTTGTGTTCGAAAAAATTTGAATGTCGGTGTAACTTACAGCAATTGCAATCAGCTCCTCTAATAGCTCCTCCAAATTGCGCAGTGGCTAACAAAAACACAATAGACAATATTATAACAAGTGAGCGTACCAAGATCAGCGTGAATGTTGCAACATACTAAAGAAAATATTGCATGGATGAACTTTCTTGACAAACATGTAGAAGTTTACCCATTGAGTTGGGCCATCACAAGGTGCGTTCAAGGGATCATCATGTACCTGTTGTAGGATTATATATCAAATTAAGTCCCAAGAGTACAATATCATCATTATTTGTGGAGTGTCACTGGGAAAGCAATGTAAGAAACAAAAGGCAACATTATAGCTTCCTCTTAGGTTTTACCTCCATGAAAATACCATCAACTCCGACAGCAACAGAAGTCCTTGCGATGCATGGTATTAGTTCTCGTAAGCCCCCACTTGCAACACCTCCACCATCAAGCTTACAAAAGAGAACCAAATATGCACAATTTGACAACCGTCTACTTGCACAAATACATAGATATTTGAGGAAGGGACGGTAACATGGTGTTCAAAAAACTATGAACACGAGTTGCATGCAAATTTACATCAGATATAAGCTATAGATAGTTGTTAAAATATGGACATCCCCATAATGTTGATTCCTTTGTTGGTCAATATAGGATTTGAGTAGCACCAAAGTCGGCCATTAAACTAGGAATCTTGCCTAAACCAGCAGAAGTGCATTGCAATTGGTAAATATACCTTTTTTCCAGCAGGCTGTTGTAGAGCATGCGTTACATCAGCTACCTGAAATGTAATATCCATCAATGGTCCACGTACTATACCATAGTTGATAGCTAATTCAAAGGTCTATGAAATTATTGGGTTAAGAGAATTAAAAAAAATAAATGCATGACAAAATTGGTTTAGTATGAGAATAACACATGAATGTATGACAAATTTAAACATATTTCACAAAGCATAATAAGATAGAAATGCAGTTACTTTCTGATGAAAAAGATAACAAAAATCTACTCAATTGAAGAAGTCTGCATCTTCGATTGCCTGTTATGTCCCATGTTTCCTTTTTTTTTTCTATTATTCCTTGAATTCTGTTGGTGTTAGGAATGTACAGAATCCAAACATACATTCCTCAAGGAATTCTGGTGAATACTGAAAAGAGAATAATAAAACTACTAAACATAGGTTCCTTGTAAAATCCTAGGTTGATTTTTCCAAATATTATTCCATCAGCCAATTTCATCAATCAGAAGCAAGCAGGACAAATCAACACAGAAGTCATCAGGTAGATTACGCAGTTCTGCTTCTGCACAACAATAAAGTGCTAACACTTACAACTGGACAATTAGCTTCTCTCAGCCACTCAAAATTCCTTGGATCAACAATTAGATCATCTGTGTCGGAATGAAAACAGAATTCAACCGTCATGAAGCAATCAAAAACATAATTTTCTTTGGAGAGGGTGCAAAAATAAATATTAATAAACAGACAATGCTAAAACTGGGCATGCGATGAAAGGGAGCTGGTGGTGCTGGCTAAACATCCAGTTGTTTGTTTTCCTTCAGAACCTAAATAAGGAGGTCTGAAGCTTGTGCTTATCCATTAAGTGGCCCTATTGCTTATTTGCATGGCAATTAACCTACAGCTACCCTGACATGGCTTTCAATGCCTTGTATTAGTGAAATAAAATATCCATCAACGGTTAGGGAACACACAGATACATCACATATGTTAAGAAACATTTGGCCATTCTGGTAGTACTAGATTGATCTTTCATCTATGGACTCCATGGCAACCATTAGTTCCAGACCATTGCACTGCGTACCACAGTAAGTATGTGTTTCTAATTATCCAATATCATATATTTACATCTATGACTTTTCACTTTGTGTTATCTTAAATTGAGCAATGTACAGAAAAGATAGCCAAAAGAATATATATTCCTTAACTGTAGCCAAACATGGTGCCACGCTCACAGACCATAACATTTTGATTTCCAGCAAGTCTGATTTTCTCTGCAGAGTTGGCCATAACCTGGAAAGATACAAGTTTATTATGACAGACATGCTAGAGATGCCTCCGAAAATTAACATAACTGGATGTGATAAAGGGATTTGCCTGAAAAAGCAGGTAATTCCTAAAAGGACTTTACTCAAATGATTGCAGATATTTCATGTTTCAAAGTTCTAGACTTCTAGTAACAATTATTTTTTTTTTGACTTACAGGCTTGTATTATTAAAATTGTAGATGTTTGGACCAACATTTATCCATAAAAATAAATAAATTATCAGCTTATGAATTAGCATGCGTGTCTTCTGTCTGGAAAAAAAATAATTATAACACAAGTTATCTGAAGAGAAATATAAATTCTTCTTGAAAGGTAACTGGTTTATCTGGATGGTGACAGGTTGAAAGGAAACACACAATCCACTTTTCCTGTTTTATTATATTTTTTCTGCTTAACTAAGCTAAGCTGCTATGCAGTGTAGGATCCTGAAATTAAGGAAAGGATCCGGAAAAAATAGCTTCCATATTCTCTCAACAGTTAACCTTGTATATATTAAATCAGAGGAACAGAACCTTTACAGTACCAACATAGGAGACTAGGAATCCATTTTTAGCAAGACTAAGCTGAAAGTACAACTTACAGAAGGAGCACAGAATTGTCCTTTCTTGATGTTGATAATTTTTCCAGTCTTGGCAGCAGCCACTAGAAGATCAGTCTGTTAACACCATAGTATGTGTTAGGAATGCAGAATGTGAAGTAAACTACAGAGTCGTGCTTATACTGCTGGTAGCACAATAATTCGCTACAAAAAAAATCCATTTGTCTCATTTGTACCTGGCGACAGAGGAAAGCTGGAATTTGTATGATGTCGGCCACTCTTCCAACGGCTTCACACTAATTTGGTAAGTTAGTTAGAAACCATATCCTCCTTAGAGCAAGGATATGTACTGGGCGATTATAGACATAGTATATTAAAAGACAACAGTGCAGGAAAAGCGCAACAAACACATGCAGCATAAGGTGATTTATTCTCATGGAGTAGAAGTGGCTAATGGCAATAATAATAAGCTCCACATAATTTCTCTAATGGTGCTACATAGAATAACTTACAAGAAGTAGTAGTACTAGCAATATTAGCAAAAGGACGATTTCACTTTGCTAACAAATATATACCTTGTTTTTCTGATGATATTCAAACTGGCAAAAACGACTGGGACATGCCTTATTGAAATGAAAGAACAAGTAGCATTCCAACAACATTTTCAGACAAAACAATTGTATCAACAGAAAAGGATATAACTAGTAGATAGGATCTGCAGACAAAGAAAGTAATGCAGCAGAATTTGGTCTCAAAACAGGACAATTTTCCTTGGATACAAGATTAATGCAAATCAATCTAAAAAATGATTGACAACTGATACCTGGTGGCTTTCATGCACATCAGTGACCACTGGAATGTCATATGTTGCTTTCACTTTTTCAAGTATCTGATCAGCAAAATTAGTAATGCATTAATGCAGTAGGGAAACCAACAATGTTATATACATGAAGAGGCAAAAGAATAAACAATAAAATACAAAATACACTTCTGCCACGTTGATTAGATTAGTTGTTGCATGTATATTATCACATTAAACACACATGGCCCTTACAGAACAAAATTATTTATGAATTGACAACAGCTCTGAAACAGATCTTTTTGTAGGACTTAAATCTAGGACAAAATAACATGGCACACTGGGTATACAACCAGAGTTTGAAAACTGTGCACCTGCAACCTATGAGTACAGATAATCACACATAGACAGAACAGCACAGAAAGCAGATATCATCTTCCATTCAAAAATAGAAGTGGGCATAACATAAGTGTATATGAATTTGCAAGGTACTAATCGTCTGTGCATTGAAAGGAAAACTAATTTTATCTAAATTAGGAATTTCTGAATTTCCTAGTTTGAAACGAATTGACCCACCTTCAGGCCTTCCTCCAGACCAGGACCACGGAAGGATTTTGATGATGTACGATTTGCTTTATCAAAGCTGGACTTGAACACAAGTGGCAGACCAAGCCTATTGTGGAGGGAAAATAGCAGGAAAACAGATTCATATATATCCCAGAAATAACTAAAATTACAATAGTTTGCTGCTCACTTGGTTGTGATGCCTTTGATGTGTTTTGCCATCTTCAGGACATGCTCCTCTGATTCAATCACATTAGGCCCAGCTAACAAGAAGAATGGTTGAGCAGCCTGTTGTAAGAATCAGAGGGTTCAGTTCTCACAGAAAAATAACCTGTGTTTCCTCTAAATAAAACCAGGCATTGAATGTGATCACACCAATAGTATATTTGTAAATATCAGTCAAATGATGAGAAACCAAGCAAAATATAACAGGCGCATGGTCTCTGTCAAGATCACCATTGGGATCTTTCTATTCACGAAATACCAAGGCCTCGATCTCAGGCTCTCAGCATACTACAGAAAATGAGGTAAAAAAATATATAGAGGTTAAAAAAGAAAATTAGTAAACCAATAGAGCCACACAAACAGAAACAAGTACTGAACACATATCAAGCAAGAGAGAGAGAGCACTATATCCTGAAGAATTCTTTCCATTCCTTCGAGCAACTCGTCAAGAAGAACATTTTGCCAATATAACACAAATAAGAGCACCCTTTCGGCTGCTCATCACAAAGGTAAATACAGCAGAAATGGAAAGCCCTAAGGTAGAAATCTGTGCATAATTTCTCACAGAGAAATATGTATTAACCCCCACAATCTTGGAGACTTCATGAAACTCGGAGATTGGAACCCGCGAACAAAATTGGGGTATCATGCGGCTAAAATGGCTCAATGTATTACAACCAATGCTGCTCAAAGTCTGAAATTTATCATGTGCAGCACAGAGCATATGCTACCAAAATTCAGTTCCTATGATTACCACCAATCCGAACTACAGTCCACTCGACCACTCCAACAACGCAAGATCGAAAAACTATTCCCTGAAACGCACCACCGGCGATGAAAGGGGGGCCAAAAAAAAAATCTGAAAACCCCACACCACCGCCGCACGCGCACGCTGGGTGATCGACGAAATGCCGCAGCAGACCAGACCAAAGAAACGGAAGGAGAACTTAGGAAGGCGATGATGGATTGGCACCTTGAGCTGGCCGTAGAGCGCCACCGACGAAGCGTCCATTGCCTCCGACGCCGCCGCCGCTCCCAGTCCCACACTGCAGGAGGCAACAAAAAGAAGAACACCAAAGAACCGCCTCACTCACCACTCGCTCCAAGAGGAAAAAAAATCCCCACCAAGAAGACGAGGAATGCGGCGGCGGAGCCACTGACCAGGGTGAACTCCGGCGAGGTAGAGCGGAGGAGGGAATCGAGATTGGCGAGTGGGATATGGAGGAGGAGATGGAGCAGGAGGAGGAGGAGCAGAGGCGACAGGATGGCGACGCCCCGTGTGGCCGTGTCGGCGAGCACGACGATGAGATGGATCGTGGTGGGCTGGGCTCGTCTCACCCTTATGGGCCGTGCCAAACAAAAGAAGAAGAAGAATTAGTTGTAATGATTGCAAAAAGAAAAAGAAGAAGTTGTAATGATTAAAAGAAGAGTGAAATATATGGTCTGAGTCCTTAAAGTTACACTGGGGGGCGCTGATCCGCGACCAGTCGCGTGGCCACGCGCGCGATCAGCTGCCCCGCCCTCTAGTATGATCTCTTAACCTATGGAGTACTACTATACGTATTATATATATATACAAAGTTTATACGTATGTATATATAGTATATACATACGTGTGCACATCTACATAATTTTTATATGTATACACTTTTAATGTATAAAAGATACACATGTATATAAAGTTCATGTATACAAAGTTTGTATACGTATGTATAAAAACCAAAAAATACACGTATACAAACTTTATATACACGTATGCAAAAGTTTGCATGCGTGTATATAAAATTTATATACATGTATATAAAGTTTGTATTTGTATGTATACAAAGTTTGCATATGTGTATACAAAATTTATATACGTGTATATAAAGTTTGTATTCGTATGTATACAGAGTTTGCATACATACGTATTAAAAAGGAAAAACAGAAAAATATACTAGAAGAAAAAAAAAGAAAAAAAAAGAAAACCGAAAAAGGTACGGAAGAGAGAAAAAAAACAGAAAAAAAAGGAAACCGTACGCCCGAAGAAAACAGACCTCACGCGCGCCGTTGCCGCCTCCTCTCCACGTCGCGTGTCCAGTCGCGCGCGGGAGGGTGAGCGCGACTAGTCGCGTATTAGCCGTCTCGGTTACACTGTGATGTCATTTAGCTCAGTGATCTTGTAAAATGCATATTTAGCTTCATAATCTTGACTTAATGTAGCCCATGCACCAATGAGAACCTCAAGCTTTGCTGTAGGCGGATCTCGCGACCCCGAGCTCCCCCAGACCACCGATGCTAGTTCTGGAGGAAAGGAGAGGGGGGGGGACCACTAATGTCCACGTGGCTAGATCCACGACGCTCGACCACCAGCACTTGCCTCTGAGCTTCGAAGAGAAGCCCATGACCGTAGACGTCGTCTCTACTTTGCGCACCGCCGCCGGATGTGTGTAATGGTGGAGGCGTGCACCCGCAGCTAGATATGGAAGGGACAAAGAGAGGGTGGGGGCTGCACCAGTGAGCAGGGGCGGACCTAGGCACCGGATAACCTAGGCCATGGCCCGGGCCCTGGGGCAAATATCCAATGGACAATCACAAATTTTCACCATGTTAAGGATGTGTTTGGATGGTGGTCAAGCGTGGATGGGATTGGGCCATCCAGTTTTTTAGGGATATGGCCATCCAGTTTTTTGTTTGATTGAGTAGATGGGATGAGCCAAGTTTTTGTTTGGTTAGAGGGACAAAAGGTGGATATGGTGAGCCAATTTTTTGTTTGGTAGGATGGATGAGTGTTGTCATCACCTTTTGGATGGGAATGGTGAGATTACCTCCTACCTGGTATACTTGGGAAAATTGGATAGTTGCATGTACAAATAATCAACTGCATCACGTATTTGTTGTCTACCTTGAGAACAGAAAATTAAAATTAAACAAGATGCTCATGAGCATTCATGTTGCTTGTCTGCATATTTGTCCATGGATCATGAGCCCAAGATAATTTTTTTCAGAAATTTTTAACATGCATATGTGTAGGGGAGTACACACATACAACACACCATATGCTCCCAGAAATGAAATTTGCAAAAATATATCAATTAACCATCATCCATTGCAACCACCACATCTAAATTTTACCATCAGCCATTACATCCATAAAAGTGACTGGTTTAGATAAAAAAGTAGGCTAACACAAGCCTATTACCATCTACCAAATACCATCACACTTAATACTCACAGTTTAATGTCTGAGTATGCAAAAGAAGGATGAATGCAATCCTATTACCATCTAACAGCTACCATCACACTCAATACTCATAGTTTATTGTTTGAGTATGCAAAAGAAGGTTGAACACAGGGCTACTACCAACAGCCATCAAACAACCATCACAACACAGTTCACCCATTAAAAGTGGTGGCAACATATCTTGCAACCCAAGTGACCTTGTGAGCAAATTCAAGGGTAACAAACACTCTTGCAGTTGGAGGATTGTCAACTAGATGTGCATGGTAATGAGCAAGATGTGTATCTTCAAACCCTGGAATGCTATGCACACTCTCATATAGGTTATCGGGCAGCTCTTTGTTAGATTTTGCAGCCTCTTTTCCAGCTTCAACTATTGCTCCAGCAAGCTTGTCACCAACAGATTTAAATGCGCCTATCAGCCCTTCCTCTTCAATTGCAGCATCAGTCTTAGCTTTCTTGGGTTTGGGTGCTGAAGATGATGCACCATTTTCCTCATTAAGGGCATGAACTCTACTAGCTGATCCAGTTGCTGCAGCACTTCCAATACCAATTTCTTCTTCTTCATCATCATCAATGGGAATAGATTCAGTGGCTAGAGGATCACCAGATCCTTTTGCATATTTTCCTGTAGCCAAGCTATTGCCAAATATCACAAGCATCTTGCCATAGTTGTGAATAGGTTTGTTCAGATATTCAGCATCAGCCTTGTGATCCTACAACATGGTGTAATAATAAAACTAGTTTCAGCAACTAATATAAAGTTCAGCAACCAATACAAGTTTCAGCAACCACTACAAATTTCAGCAAGCACTATAAATATCGCAACCACTACAAATTTCAGCAACTACTATGAATTTCAGCAACCAGTACAAATTTCAGCAAACATATAAATTTCAGCTTGCATATAAATTTCAGCAAACATATAAATTTCAGCTAGCATATAAATTTCAGCAACCACTACAAATTTCAGCAACTAATATAAATTTCAGCAACCAATAACAACTTAGCTTGTAACAATAAAATGGTGCAAGTGTGGTTGTGGCATACCTTGATGTGGTCTGCATAATGTTTATGATCAAGTGATATGATAAAATTTTCATCATCCCAAAGAGCAGCACTCAACTTCCTCAAATCAGCTATCTTAGAATATTTCCTTTTCCAAGTCCTTATGTGATTAGTAATCTGATCTGAAGTCAAATTAATATTGAAGTGATCATTCAAAGCTTTAGCACAAGCCTTCAAGTGGACTTGCTTAAACCCCGAGGAAGTTTTGTTCCCACTAGCAACAATACCCTCGAGGTATTCAAGCATGTAGGTAGACATTGAAGATGTCCATGTAACATGTCCACCCTTATCACTTTGTCCACTTCCCTCCATTGCCTAGCATGTATAAAGAAATTGATTTCAGCAAACATATAAATTTAAGCTTGCATCTAAATTTCAGCTACCGCTACAAATTTCAGCAACCAATACAAATTTCAGCACACATATTAATGTCAGTTTGCATATAAATATCAGAAACCACTATAAATATCAGCAAGCATACAAATTACAGCAAACCTTAAATTTCAGCAAGCAAATATATGTCAGCAAATACATAAGTCTTAAAAAGGAGTACATAAGTCTTAGAGTTCCATACAAATACATAGACTACAAACCTAAAATTTTCAATTTCCATAGTGAGCTTGACGATCTTCCCACATTTGGTCTGCGGTATCCTGCCTGAACTGAACCATGTATGCATGCTCACTAGCTTGCCCACTTCTTGATGTTGCATAATTGTAGTTGGCTATCCATTCTTCCTCTGATATAATAAAATCATCACCACCATCTTCTATAATCCAATTCTGAATAATACAACAAGCTACCACAATATCCACTTGAGATGGATAGGGAAAAAATGGAGTAGCATCATCTAAAATTTTCCACCTCTTGAGAGACCCAAATGCACGCTCAACGGTCACCCGAAGAGATGAGTGCCTCAAATTGAATAGCTCCTTCTCATTCTGTACAGGATTAGTCCCCCACTCATTCAAGTGATACCTCACACCATGAAAAGGGGGTAAAAATCCAGGTTTTGCTCCATATCCCGCATCAACTAGGTAGAATTTTCCTAACATATAAGGACAAGTTGGTGAAATGTGTTTTTGTCAATAATTTTTCTATGCACAAGATGGACTTACATTACCTTGTGGGACTTACATTAGTATGGGCCGAATGCCAACGAGATGTGAAGAGGGACGGAGCTTCACCCCCCCCCCACCGCGGCCACCGGAGAAGCTCGTCGCATGCAACCCAGCCTGCCCGATCCACTGCCTCCGAGCTGACCACCCTTGTCGGCGGTGATGTAACCGCCTTCACCTTCTCATCCGATGCACCCGACCGCCGCCGCCGTCGCCAAGCATGGACGTGGCCGGATCAGCATGCAATAGAGCAGGAGCAGCGCGGTGCACCTAGCAAATGGAGAGGTCTGGTATCTGGGGCTATGGTGTAAGTAAAGGGGTAAATATATTTTTTTTGTTTGCCGTGGTGTGCTACAAATCTGGATTTTTCACATTTTGGTCCTTTTGAAAAACTTATTTTGCAAATAGACCCCTAAAAAAACTTATCCCAGAAATGGTCCTTTTTGGCTCCAGAGTGGCTGGCGCCGTCCCCCTGCCGACGTGGCGGGGCGATGCTGAGGTGGCTAGGGGGAGCGCGCCAGATTGGCTGGCACCCCCCCTGAAATTTTTTATTTTTCTTTTATTTTTTGATATTTTTTTCACTCTTAGGGACACATAAGAATCAACCATAGAAAAAATGAACTCAAATGGACATAATATGTGACCTGTATAATTTTTCCTCTCCTCTCCTCTCTCTCCGAACTAGTGCAGAGGAGAGAGATGTGCAAATTTTTTATTTTTATTTTATTTTTTTGACATTTTTTTCACACTTAGGAACTCACAAGAACCAACCATATAAAAAATAAACTCAAACGGACGAAATATGTGGCCTGTGGAATTTTCCAAATCTCTACCGAAAAACTTCTCTCCTCGAAAACACAATCTTGCAAGCGGAATTTGGAGGTTTTAATATCGCTGAACCTGCGAAGCTAGGGAGAATT